AGCTCTCCCATTCCTTCAGCTAGTCCAAATGAGGCTGTCCACCAGCTGTTCTTGCAACTGTTGCAATGTTTGTTTTTTAAAATTATTGTTCTTTTATTGCATTTATCTTTCAAATTCTGTAAACCATTTGCAGAGTAGATCACAGTGAAAGAATAGAAATGCTTCAAATAATTAATTCTGCAACATGAATCCCAGTGAAAATGTATCCCATTCGCTGCAGATATTTAAGCCTTTGCCCCATTCTGTTCTAACAACAACCCTTTAAGGAAAAAGAGGACTGGAAAATCCACTTGCTCCATCCTGTCTCTCGCCAGTGCTGTAAGTAGTTAGTAATCACGTCTAAAAGTTCAAGGCCCCAAAAGGACCTCCTGACAATGTGGTGCCACCATAAAGGGGAAAGCTGGATAAATCTCTCTATGGTTTCAGCTACATCCCCAGAGAACTTGCATCTGACACTCGGCTGTTAAAGACACAAGAGCCTCAATCAGAAAAGGAGCTGGAAAATCGGAGGCTTCTTTCTGCACCTTATGCTACAGCACTGTGTAGTGGATAGAGTCAGTCTAGGACCTGGAAGGCCCACATTCAAATCCCTGTTCTGCCACGGAAGCTTGCTGGGTGACCTTGGGCCACTCACAAACTCTCACCTGAAGCTACCTCAGAGGGTTGTTGTGAGGATAAACTGGAGGGGAGGCAAAAGATGTAAGCTGATTTGGGTCACCAAAGGGGAAGAAAGGTGGGTCTAAATGAAGTACGTAAATAATAAATACATTTTGTGTAAGTCTTTTAAGGTGTCACTGGCCTCCTGCTTTATTTTGCTGCAACAGACTAATACAGCTCCTGATTCTGGAATGATCCATCAGGGAGGATCCACACAGACCAGCGTTCTCCACTTGCATTTGGTCTAAAACCCCTATATGGAAAATTCTTTGCCTGTTACCTGTTGGGGGTCAAAATCTGGCTGCACAGGAACCTCAGCTCCAATGTCCGGCCAGCAGGCAACGGCTAGGGCAGCACCGAGCAGCAGGCCTCTCATTCTCCTGGCCGGCCTTTGCTCATTCCAGCTGGCAGAGGTCTTGCAAGGGCCAAAGCAACCTGGGACCTCCCCTGCTGCTTCACTTTATAACCTCCCACTCCTTCATGCAAACAAATCCACCCCATCCCCAGGAGCAAGTTATGCCCAACGGAGAGGGAAAGGGAGAAAAGAGAGGGTTATTTTCAGAAGTTAATTATGTCACTCCTGCACAATTCCTGAAAACTTCTGAACATTTAGTACATCACAGTCCCGGTCTGCAGGCACCTGAGATCAGATATGCCCCAACAGTGGGGGTGGTGGGTCATGATGAGCTGTGGCACCACTCAATAGTTGGACCAGTATCAGATATCCAAACAAGGACATTCAAACGCCCAAGCTATTCTGCAAGATCAAAGGCTTCAGTCCGAGCCCATTCCCACAGGTGATGCTCCAGAGAGCGGAAGGCATAAGTTTTGATACTCACTTCAGAAATACACCGTGTTCTGCCACATGGCTTGCAGGTGCAAGTTAACAGCTGCTCCCACGATTGTATTTATCTTTATTATAGTTTCTATCTTATTTACACTTCTAAATGATGCCCACTGCCTTTCCCGCAGTGCAGAATGGACACACAAGATTAAGACTCCATGGCCAGATCCCAATTTCCAAAAAGGTGTCATCTCAAGGATGCACAGAATCCTTAATAAACTTTTCAGGAGGCCATGGTGCTGTGCTGCTAGGCACCCCCACAGTGGGAAACTGTCAGGTACAAGATCAAATGTGAGGTGCCATGCAGGACACTGGCAGCAGAGAATCAGAGACAGCAGTCCAACAGCACAGACAGGAAAGGTGGACAGGCTGATACAGGGAGGTTTCTGCAGAACCAAACCAATGGGAGACCCCTTTGAGTTTCACAGGGAGTGACCACAGCAACGGCAACCATCAAGAGCTGCTGCAATGGCAAAAGAGGATGCCCGTGGGTGGGAGCCTGGGGTGACTGTGCACCCTCTAATTATGATCCCTGGAAGTAGTGGGAACGCACACATGATCGCTATTCGCTTTCCTACCTAGTGGCTGAGAACCACCAGGCATGCCATTCCAGCAATATCCGTGCAGGTTTCTCATGAAGAGATGTAGCAGGCCATTGGTGCATCATGTCCTGGGGCTTTGTTTTTCTCACATGAACTATCCTGGCTTCCCAAAACTCCTAGTGATGCTCCCCTGCGTATTTTCAACAGACCGCAGGGATGTGGAGGAGACCTGTGGCAGGCTGTTGGTAATTCAGTGGCAGGCTTGCCAGGGGAAAGGCGATAGATACCACAGCTCCAGAAACCTCTCGTCAGAGAAAAGGACAGCTGCTGCTTTAAGAAGAACAATAACACATTGATTGCAAATTAAAGAGTCACATTGGAACTGTAGTATCATGGAAAAGCACAGGCTGTGTTATTAAAGACACAGGTTTGTAATCGGTTGCAATAGTTTTTTGCATCACCTTCCTTTTACTGCATTGTCTTTTCTCTATGTAACCCATTTTCTGTATTAGGTCACACCTTAGAGAGTTTTGTGTCTGTATTGTTCTCCAGCGCCGTAATCCTAGTCCTCCTACATTGTTGACTGGGGCTCTTTGCTGTCTGATTGAACTTTTAAAATGTTGTAATCCGCCTTGAGTCTCAGTGAGAAAGGAAGGCTATAAATGGAATGAATAAAATTTTACAATATCATCTACCGTGAAACATTTACATTTTTACGCTGTTCCTAAACCCGCCCAAAACTCTTGCTGTTGGCAAGGGAAGCGAAAACAGGCAGATCATCGTGGCCGTGGTCCACAGGGGCCCCATCCATCACATCCGCCCTGCCAACAACTCCACCACACTGCAAGGGTGGCCGTAGGTGGCACAACTGCCTCCGCTTGCCTGGGGCCCTCTTCTCGTGAGCAATGCATCAGAGGAAGCCTTAACACTGAGGGCCCAGATTGTGCAGTAAAGATCGTTGGGCTAGGACTTGAGAGACTCACATTCAAACCCCTAACCAGCCATGAAGCTCTCTGGGGCTTCTCGGCCTAACCCAATTCACAAGGTTTTTGTGAGGCCAAATTGGGGGAGGGGGGACTGCCATATTTGCTAGTTTGGTGTAGTGGTTAAGAGCAGCGGACTCTAATCTGGAGAACCAGGTTTGATTACCACTCCTCCACAAGCAGCCAGCTGGGTGACCTTGGGTCGATCACAAGTTCTGTCGGAGCTGTTCTCCCAATGGCAGTTCTCGAGAGAGCTCTCTCAGCCCCACCTACCTCACAGGGTGTCTGTTGTGGGGAGAGGAAGGGAAAGGGATTGTAAGCTGCTCCGAGTCTCTGAGTAAAGGATGGGGTATGAATCCAACTCTTCTTCTTAAGCTCTGTGGAGGAACAGAAGATTTTAAAAAGGACTCCCTGGTCCCAGGGCTTGACTTCCAAGTAGGTGTGAGCCTGGGCTCATTGCCAAGAGAGAAGCTGGATGCTAGGATGCACCAATGTCTATCTGAACTCCCATAATGCATTATTCAAAGGTTCCAGTGTAAGTAAGCTGCAGCACAACACACACAATTTGTAATAATTGGGGGGGGGCTTCCACCTGAATTATCCTTTGTACACTAAGGTACTGCTGTCATCCCACCTTGTCTGAAAAGTGATTTATGGTGTGTATCCCCCTCTCTAACTAACAGCAGCTCGCCTGTGTCTCAGGCAGAACAGGGCCTTTCCCAGCACCTGCTTTATGATCCTTTATCTGGAGATACCAGGGACTGAACCTGAGGCCTCTTGTGCAAGCCAGGTGTTCCACTCAACCACAGCCCTCTCAAGAGACACCGCACCACGTCTCTGAACCCCCACCTTTGTTACCCCATCTTTATCCCTTTTCCTACACCACAGATCTGTCTGTTCCAGTCTCTTCTCTTTACTGAATTATGTAGCAAAGGAACTCAAGGCTTACAATTCCCCAGCAATTCACACCAGTGAAGGAGTTGCAAGTGAATCATACAGCTTGGACGAGTAGCTACAACAGGCTGGCGCCAACTTCCTCATGCACCACCTAATCCAGATGTAGAGGTGGTGACACGGTTCTATGAAAAAAGCCTACGGAAAAAACCCCACATGAGTATGACATGTCTTAATCCTAAAATAACAATATAAAATATAGGTAATACCTGTTCATTCTCATAAATGGAGATGAATGGTTATCCACAATTATAAATATCTATGGGGCTTTACATGGTATTTTTCCATGTGGGTTTCTTTCCATGTGGGCTTTTCTCTGTGTGGGCTTTTTTCCGTGTGGGCTTTTTTCCTGTGAGCATTTATGACTGTGGGTTTTTTTCTGTGGGCTTTCTTCATGTGAGCTTTTTTCCGGTCACCGGTGACACAGGCCTTCTCCTAGCCATACTTTTGGTGAGCCCTGGAAACTAAGTAGTCCTATGAATGGGCAGGAAATGTTGCAGTCAGAGGGATTTTGGGATTCTGCAGGGAGAACCATATAGAGATGAATCTGTAATGGACCTTAAGTTATGTACAATTTTGGAGGAGCGGGGAGAGGGGGAGAGAGAGGGGGAGAGAGAGAGAGATGTGACATTCATAAGGACATTGTCAATTTCACCTATTGGTTTTGCTTTGCATGGAACTAAAATATGCCATAAGAGAGCTTTTCAAGGGAAAGGAATTGTCCAACTGGGTTGAATTTCCCCTAGAAGCATTAAAGGAGCCAGGCACCCTAATTAAAGACAGAAGGGTTACTGGCATCTCCCTGGCATAACGATCACTTCTAAAGGAGGCTACCTATTTATACATGGATCATACAGTGCAAAATGTATCTTAGTGTTAGCACTAAGCCGCCGCCCCCCCTCCCCACACTATGCTTTTTTTTTTTTTTGGTCAGCATTTGGAAATACCTTAAGCCATGAATAAATCCCACCCTTTCAACAGGAATTAGCCACTGATAAGGTGTCCTTTATATGGTGCAAAACAAAGGAGGGAATTCACAAACATATTTATTTTGGTTCTTTGAAGACAACAAGGGCATTATTGTAAACCGATTAATCCAAACCAGATTTCTGGGTTGACTTTTCAGGATGGATCTGAATTGTCATGATAACAGAGGAGCGACTTGGGCATGAGGAAGAGTCCAACCAAGTGCAAAATCCAGTGCTGGCCTACAATGGAAAACAGCAGCTATGAATCTAGTTTCCATTGTTCTTTCCCCAACTTTTCTAGCTAGGGAAAAATGTGATGCAAAGTAACATTTTTGGTTGCATGGAAAGACATATTACACAGGGCCGACACATCCCATGTTTCCCTAACTGTTATAGGATGAGAAGGGGGATTGGAAGGGGGGGGGACAGCCAGTATGGGTCTGTGATAGCCCCTCACTGAGCCCTAACCTAGAAAGAGTTCCAGCCACAAGGAGTTCGGCCGTGCATGGGAGACTTCTCCTCTCTGTCAGCCTGCTGCAGGATCTTCAGGCTAATCCACAACATCTCCGTACTTGTCCCTTTTCTCTCCCATCTGTGTTTTCTCTTTGGCATCCTGAGTGGGCACTTTCTCTGCAGAAATGAAAGAAGAATTAGGTTGAATTCAACTCCCCCCCTTAATGCACTAATTTATCAAAGAAACATAAAAATGAGATCATACACACAACCAATTGTGCTGTGCACAACCTGTAAAGCAGTGCCTTAGTGGGTGAGACCATCAAATGCAGCACCTGGTTTCCAACATCAGCCAGCTATGCACTCCTGACCCACACATTAGCAGGGTAGAAATGTGGTACAGTGCTGCTGAACATGGCAGTTCTATTGAACAAGCATTCCTAACCACAATGAGCAAACAAAAGGGGTCCAATTTTAATTTTAAAATCTTTATAACCCACCCATAATTTAAAAATCAACAGTAAAATGGCATCCTAAGCCTTTTAAAATCCCTAATATATAAAACCAGCACAAAAAACCAGCACAAAATCAAGAGCAAGGCAAATACGCTTCTGTCTGTTGGAACAAATGAAAAGGGAAACAGGAAGAACAAAAGAAACAGTCAATCACATGAACAGGTACAGAAAGGGAGTTCCAGAGTCAAGGCACTTATATTTTTACGATGTGCTCCGATTATAGTTGTTGGTTTTCAATTTATATGTATAATACACATCATTTATATGTACAAAATATGATGGACATGTATTGATACACAATCAATGTTGAAAAGTGCATGCATTTTACAGAGATCGTTTGTGAGGGAACAAAAAAATGGAACAATAAAAAGATCCAAAAATATGATTGGCATGGGGAGAAATTAAAATGGGGCTTGGGGTGCTGAAAGACCAGGGATGAGAAATTCAAAATTGCTCTTGATTTTATTGCTGGCTTTACTGTTGTGCCCCATACAGGCCCCAAAGAGCACTTTGGTCGGGGTCACAGAACAGCTTAGTGACCCCGGGCCCTAAAGAGGCCAGGCTAGCTACTACGAGGGCCAGGTCCTTTTCGGTGGCGGCCCCTATCTGGTGTAATGAGCTCCCGGAGGAGATCAGGGCTCTGCGGGACCTTTTACAGTTCCGCAGAGCCTGTAAGACGGAGCTCTTCCGCCAGGCTTTTGAATAGGGGCCGCCGCCGCCACTACCACCACCGCATATATGTGGAGCAGGACTGTCAAGAGAGGCTAATGAGAAACTGGAACATCATGACTCATGCCGTCCCCCTTTCTGATTCGATCTTGGATCTCTTTCTGACATGTAATGGAGAGTGTGTAAGTCTAGTCCTCCATGTATCTTGTGAGCTGTGAATTGTTTTAACTTCTGTTGTTTTAATGTATCTGCTTTATAGCACTTTGTGCCCTGTAAGCCCCCCTGAGCCTGCGTGCGGGGAGGGCGGGATGGAAATGGAATGAAATAAATAAATAAATTACGGTAAATAAAATCACCCTTATTCACACCACCACTTATGGCAGCAAATTCCACAAGTTAACTATGCATCATGTGCAGAAGTGATTTCCTTTAGCCTGTCTGGATCTACTGCCAAGGATTAAAGAAGGGGAAACCCGTGAAAAGTATTAAGGGAGTAACAAGCAGGGCTGCAGATTCTTCAGTTGGCATTATGCCAAAACAGGCTTCCTTGAAAGTACACAGAATTCACCCGTGGCAAATCTCAGCAATCAAAGTTCAAAAAAGCAAGAAACCTGTGAGGGCTGCCTGCAAAGGTCGGCCTGAAAGTACCCAACTCTAAAAACACACAAAATAACTTGGCATTAGAGTCCCGGCCTCTTTCTGCTTCCATCCCAAGATCATTTTAGGCTGCGGTCACACGGAGAGAGTGCGGGGGGGGGGGGGAGCGTGGCTGTGTGCCCTGGGGCAAAGAAACGCGCGGTTAAGCAATCAGACCTCCCGTGGAGGTCCTGTGGAGGTACCGTGGGTAGGGAGAGGTACCGATCACAGGACTAACCTGCGCGCAACGAAGAAGCGGGCGGTGCAGCAAACTGGTTTTTTGTGTTTGTAACCACTTGAGCTGCGGTGGCTCAAGTGGGTAAGACGCTGAACTGCAGGCTGTGGAAGGGCAGTAGTTCAGCAGTTCAAGACCCGGGTGCCGCAAGACGGGGTGAGCTCCCATCTCTAGTTCCAGCTCCTGCCAACCTAGCAGTTCGAAAGCAAGAAACTGCAAGTAGATAAATAGGGACCACTTCGGTGGGAAGGTAACAGCGTTCTGTGCGCCTTGGTGTTTAGTCATCCCGGCCACATGACCACGGAAACGTCTTCGGACAGCGCTGGCTCTTCGGCTTTGAAACGGAGATGAGCACCGCAACCCTAGAGTCGGATTCGACTGGCTTTCGAGCAAGGGAACCTTTACCTTTACCTTTACACAACGAATGCGCATGCTCCGTTGGGTGCGCATCCCCGGAGACTTGGGGGGAAAAAAACCTTTGTCGCAAGGGGACATGGGCGGGCGCCGGATGCCACCGGAAATGCGATCAGACACCCACCCTTGCCCCGCAGTTTCCGGAAACTAGTACCTCCGAGGTACTAGTTTTTTGCAGCGCGTTTTCGCCGGGAAGCCTCGGTTGTGCCACGGGAGCTCTACGCTTCCCAGATGTGCCGGTGAGATCGCGCCCGGAAAATCCGCCTGTCTTCCGTCTCTCTTGCGTGGCTTATGTTCCGTGTGACCGCAGCCTTAGTTCTCCAAGTCTATCTTTTCAGCTTCCCCACTCTGCTCACCTCTGGCCACACCCTGGAAGGGCTCTCCGGTCTCCAGGAAGATCCTCATATTAGAACACCTCTGGGTTTCCCACCGAGTCACTGCATAGCCGCCAACTGAACCCACAACTGTAGACACAGCGAAGAATGTTGACAAACTGGAAAGCATTTGAAGGGAAGCTGCCAAGATTTTACTTAGGATTCTGAATTCAGTAAGACAGTCCCAAGTAGCCATGCATCAGATTTTGCAGCCTTAGCTAACCCGGGTGAAGTTTTATGCCACATTCTATCATGATTTTCCCTGTACAACTGTTGCGAAGATCACTAATACACATCAAACATTTTGAATACTCTAAAGTGTTATGTAAAGCCAGCAATACCGCTATTAATAAAGGCCACTTCATTCAAAAATGGGAATGAGTTTAACGACAAGAGGACATGCATGGAATTTTGGATTCTCCCCTCCATCCCAAAATGCTTGTAAGCTATACAGTGGAGTGGATGCTTTAGGTATTTAGCATTCTGTTGTAAAACAGAGGCTAGGCAAGGCAACATGAGGTCACTGGTGGTGGGTCAGAGGAAAGAGAGAATCTTCACAATTCAGTTTCCTTAAATACCAACCCATGGAAACAAGTATCTTCCACTGGAATGAGTAGGGTATCTTCTTGTTGAACCTCTGAAGAGCAAAGGATATCCCAGTGCCTGTTCAAACAGACATAGAGGTTCAGATTACCCCTTGCGCCATAACCAGCACCCTCCCCAGACTTCCACAGGGTCCCCACAAGGCAGAAATTGCTGGCTGCAAAGTGAGTGTGTCATTTAGATGTGAGACATTAAAGGAAAGAACGTATTGGTGAAGTTCCCCCGGACTTGACAAAAGGACCCACAATCTGTGCTTTGTGCAGAACTGGCAACGAGGCACTGCCACTTGGCTTCCAGCGTGGTGTAGTGGTGAAGAGTGGTGGAATCTAATCTGGGAAACCGATTTTGATTCCTCCACATGAAGCCAGCTTGGTGACCTTGGGTCAGTCACAGTTCTCTCAAAACTCTCTCAGTCCACCTACCTCACAGGGTATTTGTTGTGGGGAGAGGAAGGGAAGGTGATTGTAAGCTGCTCTGAGACTCCTTTCGGCAGTGAAGAGCAGGAATAAAAACTCTTCTTTTTCTTCCTATTCTATATTGGTAGAACTGGCACAGCATAGGGTGTGGGTGGGTTTGGTATGATGAACAGCAGGCATAAAAAGACCAGTTTTGCATCTTCCTCCAGGCTAGTTAAAACAAGCAGGGAGGCCTGTCTCTTGGATAGCCTTTTGTTGGCTTGCCTTAAGAGTCATCCCTGCTGGATGACATGCCGTGCATTTTTGCCATTCTGTTTGCTGTCACAGGGCTGATTTGGTGTTAGTCACTTGGAGTTTGGGTAACATTTTTAACATCTTTGAAAGTGAAGACTGTTTTGAATGGCCTTTGTCGTTTTGCACCCTGCTGTAAGAATGCAGAATATTGAAAGAAACAACGGGTGAGCAACAGGTGAGCTAACACTCTAGTCTTCGCTGAAATAGTCTGGCCTGCCTATCAATGCTTCCTCTAAGCTGTGGAGTCTTGTGAGCAAATATTCTACTTGGTGAGCGACTGGCATTAAAGCTGTGAGCGAGCGATTTGGCTGCTGCATACATTAGTTTGCTCTGTATTCTTTTCTTTTTTTAATTTATTTTTATTGACATATTCAGAACAACAGAAGCAAGGATTAAAAGTTCCTTCCAATTCAAATGGATTAAGGAGAGTTGGCGACATCTAGGGGTGAATATACCACTAAACCTAAAAGACCTTCTGAAATACAATTGTCATAAAACTTATAACAAAATAAAAAACGGATATAGCAAATTGGAACACACGACAACTAACGTTAGCACTACCAAAATTCTTGTTCCTCTTCCGAACTCTACCGATCTAAATTAGTTTGCTCTGGAGCCATCCTTCCTGAGCGAAGACAAAAATGTGTGAGCTGAAGGCTAAGAAACTGTGAGCTAGCTCACACTAACTCAGTTTAGAGGGAACACTGCTATATTAGCAGATAGGGACTCACAGGATGGAATGCTCCTCCAGATGAAAATATTCCCTATATGTAGACATGTAATTTCCAGAAAGAAAAGTTCTATGCTAGCTTTCCCCCCTGACATTCTAGCTTTCTATGAGAAAGGATTTTTTTAAAACAGAGGAACATTCAGCCATACAAGCCCTCCCCATTAATGGACCACTTCAATAATATTTAAGCCTAAAGAATTTATGCAACTGCAACCCAGGACATGTATTTGCAACACTGTTATTGATTTTATTGTTTTACAGATTTTATGTTGTAAGCCGCCCTGAGCCCACTCGTGGGACAGGGCGGGGTATAAATTAATTAAATGACTAAACAATTTTATGAACTGTTCACCCTAAGGGATAAATTTGGGAGTGGGCTTACCTGTGATAAAGGTGGCAATGCCCTTAATGAAGGCAAAAGCTTGGCAGGCAGTATATTCCTGCAGACAGAAAAAGACAACATACAACTTTCCTTTAAAAATGCATCTGTTCCTATGGACTTTCCTCGATCAACCTTTAAACGCATACAACACAAGCAGTCATGGCTTACGAACCAGCCACAGTGTAGAGTGGCAGACTGGAATCTGGGAGCCCCAGGTTTGAATCCCCACTCTGCCATGGAAGCTTGATGGGAGACCTTGGGCTAGTCACCCCCTGGCCTAACCTACCTAACAGAGTTGTTGTGAGGATAGCATGGAGGAGAAGTTGCTTTGGGTCCCCATGAGGAGGAAAGGTAGGTTATATAAAAAAAAGTAAATGCATGTCTACACTGGGGACTTAAAGTGGATTTTACTGCCACATGGCTGTGCAGAGTGCTGTTCATTAACCCAGCAAGGAGACAAAACCACTTGCAAGCATGTCTGCCTCTCAGATCCTTCGCACCTTTCAGGACCCTAGCATGGGCAGGAGAGTGGAGAGGACAGCTTTGTTTAATAAAAAGCCAGGCCAGAATGCAAGCCTGTCATGCTATGGTCCAGTGACGGCATTCCAGAATAAGACAGAAAACTCATGCGATAGTTTTATGAGATGGGATATTGCCTGGAAAGTGACCCACATTCACCGTTTGTAGTAGGCCCAGAGAAGTGATACTTGGGCCCTGGTTGTGCTTGACCAAACTCACTTATGGGGTAGGCATAAGTTGGCTGCAACCTGACAGCTTTGACACACACACACACACCCATGCCGCTTTCTTTTCAATGGGGACCCAGCGCAACAATACAGGAGAAACAGAGGAGAGGCTTCCGTTGACTCAGGCCTCTGGCCAGTTCAGCCTTTAAAACATTGCCTTCAAGAAAAGGGTGGCACAGACAAGGCCGTACAGCAGCTGGTTCATGTTCAGAATTGCTCCCCTACTTGGATTTCACAGAGAGAAATCCAGCTGTCCTCCCCCCCCCCCATCTCCTTGGGGCAGATTTATTCATTTTTCTCCTTCCTGTATGGGTTTTTTTCATGCCTTTAACAACTACTTGACAATAATTCGTGTTACAACAACAGAGCACTGCATTTTGCAGAGTACAGAATGGCAAATCCCTGCCCTCGGGAGTTTACCATCTAAACAATGTGGCCATGGAGGCAATAAGAGGGAAGAGAGTCAGGTGGAAAGAAACAGGAAAAACACTTCAGTGCAGCATGGGAGGGGGGGAAACCACACAGGCATTCTGGGACAGGCAGGAATTCATCCGAGGCAGCTTTTCTCCAGAGAAAGCAACCACGGGGAGAAGCCCGATAACTTTTCATTCTCTAATATTTATATTTCACTTTCCTATGCGGATGAAAAGCTCAAAGTGGACAATGCTCCCTCCCCCCCAATCCACCACCAGTTTCTAATCCTTTGCTGCCCCCAATCGGCAAAAGTACACGGCCTTTCAACCGCACACATGAATGGAGAGGTACGCTTCCATGCCCCTGCGGAAGTGAGCTCGGCCTCACGGAAGTTTCCGTCGAATAAATAGTTTTTAAACCGCGACTGAATTCCTGGTTCATTCTGAGCACGCGAGGTTCCCTGGCTAACAGCCGGAGATCCCTATCCTCGCTCCATCTATCCACTACTGGGCGGCAGCCTCCCCGTTGAGCCACCATTAGAAGCTGCCCAGGGATGCCGGCAAGGAAAAAGCCGAGTCTTGGCGAGCTCTCCAAGCGGCGCACTGCTGCCCCTCGCGCTTGGCAGCTCTTAGCCGGGAAGGGGGCCGGTTGTCTTGTCGGCTGGGACTCCAGGGGGGACCCACCGGGTGCTTGGCCACCACGCCATCGTCCACGCGCAACAGCCCCAAGTTCACCATTGTCGCAGCGGGCGCCGCCGATTACCGCGCGCGCATGGCAAGGCGACTCCGGGACGGTGACCTCCAGACACCGAGGCAGCGCCTCCCCCTTCCCCGGTTTCGTGCGAGCGGCAGCGCCTTCTAGAGGGCTGGAGGGTTTCGTTTCGGACACCATTAAAGGGAAAGGATACTTGTCTTGTCTTTGCTATTTAGTCTACGGATATGTCAAAACGTCTTTATTAAATTATGCTCATCTATGTAGCGGCATCTGCCTATCTATATGCACTGGTAACTTCCATTTCAGTGTACTTGAGGAAGTGTGCATGCACAAGAAAGCTCATGCCCTAAATAAACTTGTGTTGGGCTTGTGCCACCGAATTTGGCATGTGTTCTGCTGCTTAGACCAACAGGGCTGCCCATCGGGAAAGAATACCGTCCTTTTTAAAAAGGACTGTGGGAGAGGTCCAAGGTGTGGTCTGAACCAGAATTTACCAGTGTTAGAAAGTTTCTTAGTGGGGGTGGGGACCTTTTTTTTAAAAACTGCAACGATGCAAGGCCTACTCCTGTCTACTCGGAAGTAAATCCTACTGTTAGGTGGCGCTCTCTCCGCGGTTAAGAGTGCAGAGGATTTCATTTCTGTCCCGAGGCAGAATTTATATTTAATATATAGTCGACTCTTCGTGAAATGGGGTGAGATAGGAAAGAGCACAGGAAAACGACAGGCGCCTCCTCCTCCTCCCCTTTAAGGGCGGGCTCTGCAAAGGCAACTCCTCCGCCCCCAACGAGATCGAAACGCCCGTTCGAGTCCCTTTTGGGACGCTGACTGATGGCTCTGGCCGGGAGCTTCCGCGTTGTGCAGCACGAAGGACAGCGGTTCCTCTGCTTTTGCAGCGAAAACCCCGTCCCCAGGCTTCAGTAAGGGCACAGTGGTGGTGGTGGTGGTGGTGGTGGTGGGGTTGAAAAAAGCAGGAGCGCTCTTCCCCGTTGTTCTCCATAGTCACTTCCGGGCTCGTAGCTAAAGGGATCGTCCTCCTGGTTCAGAGACAATGCATCCCTGAGGACCCGTTGCTAGGGAGCAACCGGCATGGCCTTCACTCCTTGCCGGTTTCCCAGTGGCATTTGGCTGATCATTGTGGAAAATTGGATGTTGGATCCTGGTGATCCAGTAAAGAACTCTGGACTCCCTTTTCATTTTCAGCATCCAGCCCTCATTGCCAGGAAGCACTAAACATCAGCAGACTACTTTATTCACCCTGTAGAGGAAGCAGAGCCAGGTTCTTCTCCTATAGGGTTAGGACACGCACTCCCCTCCACATGGGACTAGACTCCCAAACAGATATAAGCCACAGTACTTTTGAAAAAAGGAGGATAAGGCTTATTTCCCTTCCTTAAATAAATGTGGTGGGCTTTTAGCAACTAAGCTCCCTTAACAAAGTCAAGCAGCTGTCCCTATTAACATTGTGTGTGTGTGTGCTGTTTTTGTGTGTCCCCATGCCTGGAAGTCATGGTGACCTCTGGCGACTCCTACTGGGGCATGGAGGATGTTCAGAGCCTCTGCCTCCTGACCCTGGTATGCTCTGGAAGTCTCCAGTCCAAGTACTGGCCAGGGTCGGTCCTGCTTAGAAGAAGAAGAGATTGGATTTATACCCCGCCCTTCACTTGGAGTCTCAGAGCGGCTTACAAACTCCTTTCCCTTCCCCTCCCCACAACAGACACCCTGTGGAAAGTGCAGAGGAACCCACAGAATCTACGATCATTGTGGCCTTTTCTGTCGCAGGCGTCACGTGTGAGGGAATAAGAGCCTGATAACCTCTAGCCTTCTCTTTTCACAGTGTCACAAATGCTTGCGAGTTCTGGAGCTGCGACGTTGCTTTGGATAAGCTGGACAGACAGGTAAGCTTGGGTGCCCGAGGCAGCACTCTCAAAACCAGTCCGTCTGCTACAGGCCCCTCCGGTTGTGGAATGCTTAGCCTAGCAAAGGGAGGCCTCCAGTTTAACCTTCCCCCTTGGTGCACTCTGCCGGCTTGCAAAATATGCCTTTATACCTCATTTTCTCCCTTTGTTTGTTTGTTAAGTCAGACTTGTTAGGCCGCCCTTCCCTGCAAGCAGGGCTCAGGGAAGCTTACATCAATAAAAAGACAGTAACACTTAAAACGACATTAAAATTCGACAACCATAATAGAACAGTACAATCCAAGATGGCGATAAATGTCTAATACCTGCTTGCCCCCCTGGGTCAAGTAAAATAAAGAACAAAGGGAAGGGGCGGGGTGCAAGAGTGCCAGGCCATCACGGTCCTCAACCAAATGCCTGGCAGAACATCTCTGTCTTGCAAGCCCTACGTAATGGTAACATATCCCGTAGGGTGTGGATATCCTCAGGCAGAGAGTTCCACCAGGTAGGGTCCAGGGCTGAAAAAACCCTGGCCCAGGTCGAGGACAGCCGGATCTGTCTTGGGCCAGGGACCGCCGGGAGGCTCTTATTTCCAGACCGTAATGTTCTTCCCAGGACATATGGAGAGAGGCGGTCCCAAAGACATATGGAGACATATGAATTAAATTAGATGACAAAGAACATAAGAGGAGCCCTACTGGATCAGACCACTGGTCCGTCAAGTCCAGCATCCTGTTTCACACAGTGGCCAACCAGTTCCATGAAGGGCCAACAGCAGGGCACAGAAGCCAAGGCCTTCCCCTTTGAGTCCTCTGCCTTCTCCTACCACGGGAATTCAGAAATTTACTGCCCCTGGATGTAACGGCTCCCTTTAGTCACCATTGATAGGCCTATCCCCCATGAGGCTGCCTAATATTTTAAAGCCATGATCAGTACACGGTTCTACCACATTTCATGTTTGAATAAAAGCTAATCCCTGCGGGTAGACAAAGAAAAGGACTGTACTATCCTCCCCCCACCCATGGAATATGTAGACAGATTCATGAAATATCAAAATATGCATTTAGTTGTGGTTTCTGATCATAGTACATATTTATTCAGAGCATTTTAATGCTTCCTCTCCAGGAACGTGCCTGAGGCAGCTTACAAAATTAAAATAAAAAACCATTAAAAGATATTAATTAAAATCCAGCATGTAAAAAGGAAGCCAACACTGAACATAAAAACATAGATCATAAAAAAGACCCCAGACAGCATAAAGCAGCAGTTTCCAGCTTAAAGTAGTGTTAAGAAAAACAAATCCTTCATTAAAAGCCTGGGTGAACAGAAACGTTTTGGTTTGATGTCTAAAAGGCAGCAATGTAGCTACCAGGCGAGCCTCAAGGGGAAGGGGCATTCCCAAAACACAAAGCATCCTTGCTTGTCTCTGGGTCTTTCAGGCTGGCCAGCCAGACAGGGAGTCCTTTCGTTTCTCGCTCTGAGCAGTTCTCGCTTTTGTTCCCTTACCAGGTATCTCAGTGTGGGCTGAATTCTTCATGTGATGACTGCATTGTTAAACTCAGGTGAGTGTCCCCCAACAATCAGGACTTAACGTTCTTTCCTTATTTCAGAAGCTTAAGGTGGGTTAAAATTAAACCTGTCTACTCCTTGGAAAGTACTTGGCTCCATAAAATGAGAAAGTCAATTTCATTATTCTGTTCACGGTTATCTGTTTTTACAATGCGATATCCCCTTTGAATGGAATGAAATTTGGCACATGTGTTCAGGACATAATTCCCCATTTGAAATCCAATCAGCAGCTCCATCCGGTTTTGAGGTGGGGAAAAAAGATGTTAGTCACACATTGTGATGCGGCATGAAGTGTGATATCTTGGGAACGCTGATGTTGTGATCATCTGCCTTTTGATCAGTTAATGCATTACATGCAAGGGGTTTTATATATATGTTACTTAAACCCTAGTATTCTGAGAGACTGAAGGAAGTGTGAGCTGAAAATGTAATTCAGTATACTAACATCGCAATCCTAAACAGAATTTCACCCTTCTAATCCCCATGACTTCCACACACTTCAAACAGATTAACTCTGTTTAGACTGTACCATAGAGCTCCTGATTGTTGGAATTTGCCACTTTTAATATTTTCCCCAGTAGATGGAAGGCATTTTCCCTTCTGCGGTCCTGGAGGGGCGATAAAAAAGGCTCCCAAGGCAGACAGGCTTTGCCCCTGTAGTTCAGGGGAGATTGAAAGCATAGAGCATGTATTACTTCACTGCCCTTTTTATCAAGAGATTTGCTCTAAGTTTATTCTTCCTTTGCTTAGCAGACTTCCTGGTCATTCAGATTCGGTGTTATGCCAGAATGTTACTTATGGATGAAAACTCACAGGTTTCAGCTCTTAGTCTAAAGTTCTGTGTAGCAGCTTGCAAACTCCATCAGGAAGTTTTGCATATTAAAGAATTTTAACAATAATTGTACTTATTCACTTATTTAATTATTGTTCATTGTATCACACCTATATGTTATTGTGATATATGCAAACTGTGACTTGTGGTGGTCTATGACCGTTTTAATAAAGGTTGAATATTTTCCCCTATCCGAGTTTGCAGACCAGAATCAAAATACCTTAAAATAAACCTTTAATTGGCCTCAGTTCTCAGCCCCAGTGATCAGAAGTGACTCTTGACAACGAATCAGCTGAAACTTTGATGGATTAGGGTGATTCCTCATTTTGTGATTTCTAAATCTGTAATCCAGTTTTATTTGCTTTGTTTGTTGTATGTATTAGTTTTATTGCATACTTTTGGGTTTAAAACTTTGTAATCTTCCTTGAGTCTCAGTGAGAAAGGCAGACTATAATTAAAGTTAGTAAATCAATAAATGTAATGTGTGCAGTCTTAGTTATACCGATACAGGTGTATTTGCACATTTGTCAGTTCAGCTCCACTGTATTTTGTGTTGTTTCACTCCTCTTTTGTCCACAGAGAAGCCTTTGAGTATCAAACTCCTACGCTAACCATACAGGACAGCAAGGCCATCTTGCAGTTCCAAGACAGCAGACAAACTTTGACCTTTGACTTGTTCAAGGTGTCTCTCTCTGAAGCGAGGAAACTAGCTCAGGACCTGGTTTTTGGCTTGGTGGAACAGGTGCAGAAGCTGGAAAAACATGTCAAAGGTTCTGTTTCTATGCATACTTGCTGGGTGGGCTAGGGAAGGTAGAATCTCAACTCATTCCAACTTTGAATCCATCCCAACTTCTCCTTTTGCTGTTCTTCATGGAATGTTATAATCCAGAGTGAAATGTGGTAGTAGTTTTCTAGGTTTGGTACGATGTAATTATAAAGACTCAAACCAATATCAGGCTAGTTAACAATATATGTTTCCTCCCACCTGTCTGCAACCCTACAAACAGGGTACCACAACTTGCTAGTCCACAAAAATGTTTAGTGGACTGCCCGCCCACAAGAGTTAGCTAAAAGAATGTGCAGCCTGATCTATGGATGTTTGTTCTTGAGTGTCTTCCACTGAATGTGGGATAGGTTTGTTGCTTAACTTCTCTGCCTCATCTCTTGAAGATTATTCTCTGTTCACCATGGTAAGCAGCTACTTCAGATCGTGTTATCAGTAATTTCTGAAGGTATCCTGAGATATACCAAGAAGCTTGTCACTTTCCATAGTGAGCAGGGGCAGAGATATTAGCTACACTGGTCCCTTATCGGGTTGAAATTGACTATTCATCAACTTCACAGGGGGGGGGAGGAAGTCAGCCAGGAAGGGGAATACAGCCTCTGTTTATTTTTTTTTTAATTATTCCAGACTTACTTGAAAGCTGCCAAGGGAAAAATTGTTTCATAGCTAGAGATAGACTTCCTTTGTCAGTTTTCACTTCTTCTAATGACTTCCAGGATCACATTTCTGGAGTACAGACTGAAAGCAGCTGCAAGTTGTTGAAAACAAATGTTTTTGTGTATTTTTCTTCTCTTTGCAGAGGGTGCCCTTGCAAATGCTGGTACTTTGCCCCTTGGTAGCCCTGAGAAGAACACACTGAAAAGCCAGTCCCTCTTTTCTCCAGGTAAGAAATGGCACACATCCAGCATGGCATATTTTGATGATCAGTCCAGGGAGTGTCTCTCTTTTGTCCCAGTGTGAATTTTCAGTCCTTCCTGTTTTGATAACTACCTTCTTTCGGAGGCCACATTGGCTTGCAAGAGAGAACAAGGCCATCTTTTTCTTCAAACCCCACCCATCCAAAATACTCAATATTCCCAGTCAAGAAAAACCACATTCTGTTTTAACATGCATAATTTTCATTTGAGGACGAGGCAAGGCACCATTCCGAGCACTGAAGATCTGTCCATCACATGCTGCGGTTGGATATCCCATCTGGTTTCACAGATTTTATCCAGCATTAGGCACAAGACTGCCTTTGAAACCGTAAAGCCTGGAAAACTTGGTCTTTATCTCTCCTCTATAAAATGAAAATGGAAGCTACAAAGCGAGGTAGTAAATCCCACATCTTTGGGGAATAAACAGACTCCTGTCATGAGGATGCTGGATAGGTGGGGGAGAGAAGAACAATCCTCTCCCAAGCTAGAGCGGGAAAGGGACCACCTTCAGCAGCACCTCTAGAAATGTTTGATTTTGAAGACTGGGAGATATGGCAGAGAGAGCAGGTTTGGATAAGTGCTGCCCTCTGGATTACTTGGTCGGCTCCAGTGGTACCATATCCGCACAATTTCTGTGATGCTGAAAGGCAGGGGTCATTTCGTAGAAAAAAGAGGTACAGTAGCTCATTAGCATAACTCATTAGCATAACTTAGTTGCATATGCCACGCCCACTGACATCACCAGAAGTGTGTCAGAAGGCAACACCCACCACTCAGGCTCCACTGGACTGTTTTGGACCGGGGGGCTGGGGGGGGCTCTGCAACTTACCTGGCTGCTTCTTGCTCTGACTGAGGGCTGCTGGGAACAGGGGGTGGGGCTTGTTGCATGTGCCCGCCCCCTGGGCTCTTTACTGCCGGAGCTCCGCTCCTGTGTGCTCCTGCAGGAAATGACCCCTGCTGAAAGGTATTCCAGAGTTTTACCCAGTATCAAAGAGAAAAAGGAGGCCTTTCTTGCCCTGGGGTGCTGTGTGTGCACTAGAGCTCCTTATTGGCCAAGCTGATGGGAACCATGAGTCATGTTGTCCCACCGGATAGTACTGCCACTTTGAGAACAACCGTAAGATTCTTGTCCCCAAGGACTCTTCCTCCCTGCCCCACTCTCAACACTCTTCCTACCTAGCAGGATGGATGGATGAAACTGAGCTGTAGCAACATCTTTCTTTAGGTTTTTTTCCCCCCCTTCTGAACAGAACTCAGTCCCCTCAAAGGCCGGGGCGGAGCCGGCACAGGGCAAGCGGCAAGTAAAAAGAGGATGCCTGGAGAGTCCCTCATTAACCCTGGCTTCAAAAGGTATTTCCAGATCGCCTCCCTCGTAACTCACTTCATTTTGGCCACACTCCCAGCCTTGACTTTGCAGATGGTAAGACAAAATGTACAAGCCATGAATGAAGGAGTGCATGAGTAGCAGTCTGTTCTTCCCTTCAGCCCCACCAAACCCAGCTTTTGGTATTCGTCTCTCTTCATTGCAGTCTGTTGTCATCATCCTCTCTTTCTACTACTAAATGCTCAAGTTCCCACCAAAACACATGCACCCCTAGTTAAGGAGGGTAGGGGTTTCTGCATATTTGGGTGAACTTCCAGGTGTGCAGAAGAAAACTGTTGAATATAGTGCATAGCCTGGGTGAACATGCTGACTTAGTGCGCAGTAGTGGTGAAAAAAGTAACTTTCATGCACCTCTTTTGTGCCCATTTGTGGTGAGGTAGTTGGGGAGTTCTTAATCATGGTGCCTGGATGGTGGTGCCCTCTCCCATGGGAGATGCGTATAGTTCCATCGGCACTCTGTTTTGGTGGCTCATTCAAAACCTCGCTTCCCCATGGAGCTTTTAGAGCAGCAGATTGAGAGCCAGCGGGCCTGCTTTTCCTCTAAGTCTTTGTGCTTTATGGCTATTTGCTCTGTGATACCACGGTTAGGCTTATGTTCGTGTGGCTTCACCTTTATTTTGATGTAAGCAGTTTTGTAGATAATAGAATAGGAAAATATAAATACTTTTAAGTGACAGCGTTGTTATGGGAAATCATTGAAATGTACACTCTATGAATGCTATCATTTTTCCTCTTCTTTCTAGTAAAAAGACACCTTCCGGGGTAGATTTTGAAGAGGCCTGAGCCACTCTGTACACCCTACTTCAGCCCAGACAGATCTGCAAGGCCTCGTCCCAGATGTTGTACCAAGATATTTTTAACGTATATGCATGTATTTGCTCCCTTTAAACCTGATGAATTGCCAGGCTTCCACTCTCCTTGTATTCAGAACAGCAGCAAAACCTTCAAAAACACCACCCTATCAGTGGAGAATGCAGTGAGGTTGACTTCCCACCAGCCAGAGAAGGTGGCTGGGCGGGCCAGCAGTGGATTGATACTTGACGAAGGACCTCACCCCTGCCCAGGGGCATTGAGTTGATTTCCCAGTGGGTGACGTGCCTGGAAGCTGCATGAGAAGCAAAGTCCAAGAGACTCTCCTCTGCTGCTTCCGCTGAGCGCCCCTCTCCGCTGGTCCAGGGGGACGTGCTGCATTGCAGGGATTCTCGCTTGCTTTTGCTGGAACCGCACTGGAGACTTGAAAGGAGTGCAAGAACATTCCACTCTGCAGTGGGAGAGGAACTCGGGGAAGAGGAGGCTCCTCCTGTGCTGAAAGGCTTGTTAAAAAAATTGCAGCTGGCTCTAGGGAGGAGCCTCTGAAATGAATTTGCTTTTTTAATGTGTCAAATGAATTTGCTTTTTAAATGTTTTTAATGTGTCCTTCAGGAGCCTTTTTAAATGAAGTATGCCTGTAAGTTACTTGAATAAAGCGTCACATGAACACATGAAGCTGCCTTATACTGCATCAGGCCACCACCAATTTCTAATCCTTTGCCGCCCCCAACCGGCAAAGTCACACGGCCTTTCAACCACATACATAAATGGAGAGGTACGCTTCAATGCCCCTGAGGAAGTGAGCTCAGCCTCATGGAAGTTTCCGTTGAATAAATTTTGTTAAGTCTCAAAACTGCTACTAAATTCCTGGTTTATTTAGAGCATACGAGGTTTCCTGGCTAACAGCTGGATATACCTGTCCATCTTCTTTATTTTAAGGATTTATCCTCTGCTTTTTGACCAAGTGGTTTTCAAGGCAGTTTGCAGCAGATTAAAACTGTACCGTGTCCTTACCCTCCTGACAGGTCTCCCTGTCCTTTGTCCCTTCTTTGGCCAGACTGGTCTTGCCCTGCTGGGAGGGAGGGGTTGCAACCTTAGCTTTGCAACTTCCTTCTGTGCTGGCTTTCTTCTGTCCTGCCGACATTCGGCAGTGATGTCTGTGGACCTGATTTTAGCTTGCTTCTAACTGGAAACAGATGCACCACAGAATAAGAATGCAAAAGTAACTGGTTGTTAAATCCTGCAGATTAGTTCCAGAGGAAGAGCCTTTTGCATCAACAGCAGGTTTCATGTGCAAGATTGGAGCATCGCCATCAGTAAAGTGGCTCCATGCAATCCAACACAAATTTTATCACACTGGAATATCTTCTTCTTTTTTCAAGGTTAGAACTCTGTGTGATCTCAGGCGTGGTCTACACATGCAGCAGAATAATAATGCCAAGATGCTCCCCCCCCCCCCCCCGGGAAAAAAACCCTTACAACAGGAGAAGAAGAAGAAGAATAGATTGGATTTATACCCCGCCCTTCACTACCCAAAGGTGTCTCAGAGCGATTTATAAACTCCTTTCCCTTCTCCTCCCCACAACAGACACCTTGTGAGGTAGGTGGGGCTGAGAGAGCTCTTGACAGAAACTGCTCTTTTTCAAGAACAGCTCTTATCAGAACTACGGCTTGCCCAAGGTCATCCAGCCAGGTACAAGTGGAGGAGTGGGGAATCAAACCCGGTCCCCCCAAATTAGAGTCCGCGCACTTAACCACGACACCAAACCTGGGCTGAATTTTTCTCCCTGATATCTTAGTGTTCTGCTTGCATGTAGTTTTACTGTTCGGGTTTTTGTTTTGTTTTTTAACAGTATGGCAGATAGTCCTTTCTGCTGCCTCTTTCTAGTTCTTGGATGCAACACATATGACCTGAGGTTCAAATGCAGTCCACCAAGACATGTGGTGTGACCTGTAGTCTCATTGCCAGTTCAGTGTCTCAGCAAACATTGTTGGACTCCATGCCCTTGATGGGCTGCAAATCTTAGGCAAGCTGCCATTGTCCCAACTCTCAGAACATTATTTTCCTTTTAAAGAAAGCAGGGAGCCAAGTTTTGAACAGTCAAACAGAGTGGAAGTCGAAGGGTTAAACCCGCCCTCTTCTCTGCACGATCTTGAGGCAAACTGAGGCTGCAGGTTGCAATTTATCTACAGGGCAGGATGACAGATGATCTTCCTCCTGTTTGGTTTTGAGCCTTAAGTGTTGCCAACTCTTTAAAGTTCACGAGGCAAGGCCTGGAGATGTCATACTTTTGCAATACATCCTGTTTAGTTCCAGTCGAGATTGAGTCTAGCCTATTAACTACTGGAGTTGTGCACTCCTGTAGCATAATTGCCCCACTCCTTACAGTAACGTAATTTTTGCTTCTCTGTTTTATGGATGACAGTCTGAGATGAAAGAGCCTTCATCTAAGTAATCTCCTGAGTGTCTGGAAGAGGTGAGACGTCAGCACTGACCACAAAACCCACGCTACACACAAGCTTAAAAGAGTGTATTGGGTGATGGTGTTGATGGAATTCAGCTGTTGGTGCAGTTTAGCTGTCTGTGTGTGTGGGGGGGAACTCTGCCTGGCAGGTTAACTTCTGGCAGAAACTACAGTCAAGTTTGTTGCCGTGCCTCCCTTGCCCTGCCCCCATTGGGGGGGGGATCACAACTTCTGTCCGGCCCTCGAGTAACATCATTACTGGGTAACAACAACAACATAACAGCAGCATTAAAAAATCTAAAAAAAAATCTGACATTTTAAATATGAGCCCAGCCTCCCTCAAGCTTACCCTGGCCACCCCAGAGAAATCTGGAATTGCTTCTGAGCTAAAGCATGCTAGGACTTCAAGCAAACCTTCACGGGGTGGGGGTGGGGGTAAGCCACCTAGTAAACAGACAGCAATACGACCAAAGGGCACAGTGGAATAGACACGAGCACAGAGACATACAAGAAGGCCCCGCCCTTGTTCATTGTGTTTGAACCCAACAGTACTGAGTTAAGAGGATCGGAGCAGCTCTGCTGGTTCACAGTTACTAAGACCCACTAGCAACGTATCTGGAGAGTCACAGGGACTAAAAGCAGAGGAACCCAGCAGCACAGAACTGGACAGCACATGGCTACCAACCAACGGCATTCAGCTCCAGAATCGCCCTTTCTTCCCAGGGTCAGCTGCCACTGTGGCCATCTTGATTGAGGGGTAGGATGAAAAACCACCTTGTTACTTGAAGCACTGGAGGTCACCTGTGCCAGGATCCCTTTCTGACTCAGTTTACCACAGTCTGATTGGTGGTAGGAGGATGGGAGCAAAGCTAGTCTGTGGGGTAGGCTGAGTGGTGAACGGCAGCCATCTTGTCAGGCTAATGTCTGCGTTGGACCTCAGGTTTACTTGAGCGGCCTGACCACAGCACGGTAAGCCTGCACAATCTCCTCACTGTTGGGACAAGTGTACTTAAACTCCTTCACCTCCGCAGCGCTGTCCAGGTACCGCCAGAGGCCGCACAACTCCTTGGGGACGCCAAATTGCCGATAGTGCTGACACACAACCTGTGGGGGGGGGGGTAGAGAGAAAGGTCAAGAGAGGGTAACAACCTTCCCATTTTAATCTGTGTGGAATGAAAAGACAATGCATACGGGGCTGTATGCGCTCTCTAAGCTGTGGAGTCTTGTGAGCAAAAATTCTACTTTGTGAGCTAGTGACATTAAAGTTGTGAGCGAGTGATTTGGCTACTGCATAAATTAGTTTGCTCTGGAGCCATCCTTCCTGAACTGAGACAAAAATGTGAAGAGAAGAGATTGGATTTATACCCCGCCCTTCACTACCTGAAGGTGTCTCAGAGCGGTTTACAAACTCCTTTCCCTCCCCCTCCCCACAACAGACACCCTGTGAGGTAGGCGGGGCTGAGAGAGCTCTTGACAGAAACTGCTCTTTTTCAAGAACAGCTCTTATCAGAACTACGGACCAGAATTTGTACAGGATGGAGTGACATACATTCAACTCACGCAAGTCTATACCTATCTTATATAACAACAGTAAACATATAAATATATAAGGATACAATATTTGGCCTTATACTGCATATGTGTTTAACATCTTACGTAAAAAAAAATTTTTTGAATGTATGTCAAGTTTGTATTTTGGATTGTGACCACTGAGGAAGGCCCCTAGGGGCCGAAACGCGTTTGGTTCAGTTGCACAGCACTAACCCATCTATGTATGAGTGTTGAGAAGTTTTTTATGTCTGAATGTGAATATTTTTAATGGGTCTAAGTTTTTTTTAAAATGTGTACACCTGAATAAATTTTGTACCTGTATTATATTTAGTGTCAGCTTACCCCTTGTGGATTCATATCAGTCTTCACTAATGCCACTGAGAGAAGACAGGACTGAGCTGGACAAGCCCAATAGTTTGACTGGGTCTAAGGAGATTTCATTGGTTCAGTGGTCAGGCACATAGTTAGGGTACTGTTCCTTTAACAGGGAACCCCAGAGATCCTCCAGGACCGCTGCCATTCGGAGTACACAGTGCTGAGCTATACAGAGCAATGTTCTTGACTCAGGAAAGCAGCTTCTTATGTCCAGGGGGGTGGGGGTGGTTGGCGGCTCAGTAGTTGAGCACCTGCTTTGTTTGCGGTTGGCAAGTCAGCATCAATTGATTCCCTGACTTCTCCGGTTAGGGATCTCAGGAAGGACAAGTGGGGAAAGGCTTTCCTGTACCCAAGAGCTTGGGGACCCAGGAGCAGTCAGAGAAGACTATGCTGATCTGGATGAACCAAAGGGCTAAATGTGGGGGTGAGACTCACATTAACAATGTTGAGCTTGGGTAGGAGGCTGCAGTCCGCAAGGGTCATTTGGTCCCCATCCAGGAACCGCCTCTGAGAGACAGCGAGCTCCGGGTCCCGCACCAACTCATACTCCATGGGTGTGTTCAGGTACTTGTCCAACTTAAGCAAGGCTTTGAGAAGGTTTTTCTGCAGAGCTGGAAGAGAAACACATGAAAGAGTTTGGGACTTTGGCTGGTGGAGGACCTGGTCTGTTGTTTGCTAGTTTGGGGGGCTGAGGCAGGAAATGCCCCTAAACAGATTCACCCATATTTGCATCTGAGTCTTCTCAGCTGGGCATCTTATTCTGTCTTTTGCACAAAGAGTAAATATTTGTTACAGAGTGGCCAACTTGATGTTTAAACAGGCTCAAAAGTTGAGTTTTTCCATCTCTGGTCCTCCCCGGTGTTGTCTCAAAACTGGGAGGAGGAGAAGGAGGAAGAGGAGGAACAAGAAGAGATGGAGGAAAAGGAAGAAGAAGAAGAGTTGGATTTATACCCTGCCTTTCACTTGGAGTCTCAGAGCAGCTTACAATCTCCTCTCTCTCCCCCTCCCCACAACAGACACCCTGTGAGGTAGATGGGGCTGAGAGAGCTCTGAGAGAACTGCTCTTGAGAGAACAGCTCTGAGAGAACTGTGACTGACCCAAGGTCACCCAGCTGGCTGCAAGTGGAGGAGTGGAGAATCAAACCTGGTTCTCTAAATTAGAGTCCACCACTCTTAACCACTATTCCACTACACTGAAGGGTGTGGTAGACCCTCACTCATGAGTCCGCTTTAAGAAGAGGCATTTTAGGGCACTAAAACATTGACCAGACCACCTCCGCCCTCTGCAGTGCCATCCAACAGCTAAATGGAACCTTCACATTCAGAGATAGTCTATCAAAGTTAATAGAATACCTCATTCCATTACCACTGATGGAGGCAGACCTTTGGGTTGATACCACAAGGCAGCTGACGTTTAAACAGGCTCAAAAGTTGAGATTTTCCATCTCTGGTCCTCCCCGGTGTTGTCTCAAAACTGGGAGGAGGAGAAGGAGGAAGAGGAGGAACAAGAAGAGATGGAGGAAAAGGAAGAAGAAGAGTTGGATTTATACCTTGCCTTTCACTTGGATACCACAAGGTCATTCTTGTGCCTTTACGAAAGAGGTGGACATGATGTAGGCCACCCAGATAGGCTCAAAGGGCCAGATCTAGCCAATCACCCACTGATTGAGTCTTGGGATTCTGGGGAACTCCCTTGTAATGAGCGAATCCTCTCTCGTCCAACCTGTTTACCTCTCCTTCCTTCTTATCATTCTTTACCTTCATCCTGGGCAGGTACTGGATTCTTGATGTAAGCAGAGAATTTGTGGAAAATGTCATTTCCAGCGATGCTGGACTCTTTATACTTGGGCACCAGGCTTGGAAAACTGTGGGAGAAGGAGACAACTGGTGTAGCAAAGTGGGTAAGAGAAAGAGTAGTGGAGCTGGGATCTTGCCCCTTCCATGGGTTCCCTCCCTCCCATTATGAGCCCCCACGCCAATTTAGCTCCTTGCAGCAGATGCTGGTGGTGTGTATTCAACCATCCATGTACAGAAGTTTTTCCCTGCGTTCCTCTCCATCCCTGCAGACCCCTCCCACTCTCAAAAGGGTCATTGCTGTGGTCATGGAATGTGTGCAGAGGAACAGCTGTGCAGGTCTGTGGGCAGGAGCAAAGAGGGAAAAGGGGACAAGAGCAATCCTTTTCTTCAGTGGAACTGCCCTTGGAGAAGAGGAAGGGGGAGCAATTTCACCCCTTGCCTTTCCTCACCCTCAAACCTGCAGAGCCGTTCTTTCACACAGATCCCACAACCCCGTAAGCCATCTTTCCAGGGGTCGGAAGGGGCTACGGGAACAGAGAGGGAAACACCACATTCTATGTGCAGTGGTGTGATACCCAACTCATTTGGCAGGGGGGCCCCCCCTCCGCCCATGCCAGGCACGTGCCTCATCAGCAAAACCTTCTCACTTTGTTGTGGCATTAGCCTCCTTTTATAGACCCATGGAGGAAGTCCAGATGGCACCCTCAAAAGCAGGTTTCCAGAAGCTTTGCAAAATTATTCTTATTCATAGGGCCTTCTTAGATTAATTATAGTTGACAGCTTTTTTACTGCTGGGCAGTGGGCTGTATTAACAGACTACTGATTTAGGATTTACAAGGTTTTAATGTGTTTTTATCTGTTGATGACTGTTACTGTGATAAGCCCCCTTGAGCATCAGAAAAAGAGGGATAGCCCTGACCTGGATAGCCCAGGCAAGGCCGATCTCGTCAGATCTCAGAAGCTAAGCAGGGCCAAACCTGGCAAATTCTTGGAAGGGAAACCTCCAAGGTATATCAGGGCCAGGACACAGAGGCAAGCAATAATAAGCCACCTCTCTGAAACATCCAAGCCCCACTAGGGGTCGCCAGAAGTCACCATGCCTTCCGGGCTTGCAAGCACACGCAAGCGCGTACACACACAGAGATATTCACAAAGAATTTAAAAAATAAAATAGAAAAAGTGGGATAGAAGCCTTTTAAGTGACCTAAGGCAACCCCCTCCCTCCCTCGCCTCCCCATCTTTCTACCTACGTACCAGGAGTGTCTTACCTTCCAGGATTGTTGTAAGAATTACAGCAAGACAATGGATACAAAAATACTTGGAAGACAACATTAGCAGCCCTTTCTGCACCTGTTATCCCTCCCCAGACCAATATGCTTCGGCAATCATTCAAGGCTGCTGGTTGAACACGTACTTTGGGGGTCCCAGGGTCTCCTCCAAAAACTCTTCTATCTTGTTAGTGTCTGTTTTAGGTTCACCGTCATACAGCAGTACAGGGAGCTGAGCTCCTGGGGCAAAGTCCTTCAACACATCCAAAGACCTGTAAGGAGCAGAGGAGGAGAGAAGAAAAAAGCAGCCTTGGTCACTGATCCAAAAGCTGAAAATCCTTGATGCATGGCTCCAGCTGAGTAGATGTCTGACCCTGGATCTAAGTGTCAGTTCCACCCCATAAACCCTTTTTAATATGGGTCCTAGAATGTGTGCAATGGTCCTCTCTCTCTAAGAAGAGAACTAATAGTCAAGCCCTGTAAGGGTGCAGGGCTTTTTAAACATTTCGTATTTAGCACCTGCTTTGGTTTTGCGTCTGTGTGAGACTTTAAAGGCAAGACCAGATGTGTCAAACACAGGCCCATAGCCAAGAAGAGATTGGATTTATACCCCTCCCTTCACTACCCAAAGGTGTCTCAGAGTGGCTTACAAACTCCTTTCCCTTCCCCTCACCACAACAGACACCCTGTGAGGTGGGTGGGGCTGAGAGAACTCTTGACAGAAACTGCTCTTTTTCAAGAACAGCTCTTATCACAACTATGGCTTGCCCAAGGTCATCCAGCCAGGTGAGAGTGGAGGAGTGGGGAATCAAACCCGGTTCTCCCAGATTAAAGCCCATGCACTCAACCACGACACCAAACTGGCTCTTTCTTAGGAGGCACTGACTAATCGAATTAAAGAAAAACCCAGCTTCTTCCCCGCATCTGCCACCACTTGGGGGCCTTGGGCTGGATGGGAAGTTGTGGGGCCTTGCCAGTGATTAGGGGGGCCTAGCCCCGTGATGCCCCACTGTGGCTACGGGCCTGGTCAAACATATGGCCTGGGGGGCCAGAACCAGCCTGTCTAGGTCTCATATCTGGCCCACGAGTAACTGGAGGGAAACCAGCCCAAATGTGGACCAGAAGGGCCTATATTGGGGTATTACACCCCCTGCTGAGGGCCCTCCCTTCCCCAGACACAGGCCCTCATAAGGGTCTTCCCCCAGATCTCCAGAGTTGGCAACCATAAGGGGTGAGGAGGGCTGATCTGGCCCCGAGTTCTGCTGAGGAGGGGTATGGGTCACGGTCTATGATAAAATATCTCTGGTATCTGGCATTACATTTTATGACACACATGGCCCAGCCTGACAGTGACATTTATGTCAGATCCAGCCCTCAAAAGAAATGAGTTCGACACCTCTGGTCAAGACGGCATCTTTAAATGTCTTGTTTTTGTGCTCTCAGCTGCTGGAGACATGGCCTGTTTTGCAGCCTGCCTTGTATTGACGGAAACAAGTTTTGTAAATGGCTCCTCTTGAGAAACCAGCTTAGATGGAAACCAGAGGAGACAACGGAAGGGGTTTTAAGAACCCTTTCAGCAGCATCATTTTCTCAAGTGCAAACACCCTCTCATCCCACTCAAGCTACTGTTGGGGGGTGGCGGGATTTGTAGACGACCTCTGTTTCCTCCTCAGAGGGGTGAGTTGAAAATATAGGAGGACACATTTGTTGTGTGTGTGGGGGGGAACTCCCCCACATCTCAGCTGCCATGAATTGAGTCTTCTCCTCTCCACACACCCTACACAACTGCTCTTTACTAATAAAAACCTTCGGAAGAACTATTTATGGATCTTTCAGTGGGTCATCTACTTTTACTCTGAGGGCAGATGAACACCATGATACAATAACAATAAAAACAGAGCACAGATATGACATTAGATGTGACATTAGAGCACGCCAGGACAAAAGCCCACAGAAATAAATGCAAAGTAAACAAGATGGAAGCACTTGGTCAAGCCCCTTCCCATGTATATGGCACCTTTTGATATCCACCGTGGTCAGAGTAAAGGGTACCCCTTTAAGGAGCAAGATCATAAAGAGACGCTGGCAGAACGGACAGTGCCCGATGGTCTCGCCATCATCACTTGCCTAAGGGAGAAAGATAAGAATGGACACACTGAGATTTCAGAAGTATCTACGCCACAGATGTAAAATTCTTTGACAGTTACTCTAGCCCAGTGGTGTCAAACATGCAGCCCGGGGGCCGGATCAGGCCCCAGGAAGACTTCTATCAGGCCCACCGTGGAAATGGCTATCTTCTGCTTCTTATTCCAGTTCTGCTGCTGCTGCTGCCGCGTCATCATAGGTTTGTAGCTTACAGATACACACCTGAACAGCATACTCTGTTGTAGCTTACAGATACACACCTGAACAGCATAGCCTGAAGCAGAGACTTCTTCTGTCCCAATTTTGAATACAGTGGTAAGAGGTTCTTCTGCTCCAAACTCTATGCCTTTGGTCTTGAAGGAAGGGGGCAAGGGTGCTCACCACTGAACCCTGCCGCCGCCGCCGCACTTCCCGGCTTGGATCCCAGCCCCGCACAACATTTCCATGCAGGAGAGACTCTGCCTCCCCCCCCCGTCCGAGCTGGGTCAGGGGCCAGGCCAGGCCGCTGGGCGGGCAAGTTGGGCATGAAGGGCGGGCTGGAGTTCCCCTGGCGACGGGGAGCCAGGGCCAGCGGCCAGGAGGAGCGAAGCCGCGGGCCGCGCAAGGTACGGCTCTGGACGGGAGGCAGCAGGCAGGCAGGGGCAGCCCTCCAAGCTGGCTGCTGCTCTTCCCCCCCGGCTCGGCATGCGCAGGGGACGCTCTGCCAGTTTCGGGGGGATTTAAACATCCCCCCAATATTTTTTCAGGGTTTCTGATTTTTGTGCACACGTGGGGACCGCCCCACGTGTGCACAAACCTCTCCCTGCCCCCCAAGTGCCCCCGAAGTGTGGATTTAGATATCCGGAGGGGGCCACTTTGGTATTAGTATGTAGATATCTCCACTACCTGGCATTACATTTTATGGCACACATGACCGGGCCCAACAAAGTCTCATTTATGTCAGATCCGGCCCTCATAACAAATGAGTTCAACACCCCTGCTGTAGCCTGTTTACAGGTCACCATGAACACACACACACAATCTGTATACAATGTACTCTTACTTTTTCCTTATACATACATCGAGTTGTCCTCATGTAACATTAAATGCATGTATATCTGAACATCTGATTGAAACTTCACATTTATCCATGTACTGATTCCCAGATTCACCTGTAAAGTGACCACATGTTCGCTGTCTCTCACAAACAAATGCACGTATAATCACATGACCAGAACATCTCTCTTTCAGGGAACCCTGGGAACGGTAGTTCTATGAAGGCAGTGGCCAGCAAGTATCAAAAAAGGAATTCTCAGTATTCTTGCCAATTTGGGGGTAGGGGGACACTACACTATGCTAGTTAAACTGGTACAAGACCAATATAAAACTACAGCATAGACACAGATATTCATTAACCTTACCAAAAATATCTCACAGTTTCTGTTAAAATTCCTTGGTTATTTCACCTAACGAGGTCCCCACCCTCCTAGCCCAATTCACTTTGAGTTTTGTTGGAGGCCAGATTTCAGTAATAGTGGTGTCGGCATCTGGTGGTGGGTGGGTTTAGTATTGTCTTTGGGTGTAACACAGGTGTATCCTGGAAACAGAATGTTTTGTTGTTCTTGCTGCTGCATATTCCCCTCCCCCCCCAATGTTTCCTGGTTGTGCATTTTAAGCCATCTAGGTGACACCATGCACTTTGTATGTGCCAAGTTACCTGTGGGAGAGAACATTTTTTGCTTAGAGCTCAAAGGTAGCACCCACTCTGGATTTTTCAAGGCTCATACTATCTAGGGATGGGAACAAATTGAACCATGAAGCAACATTAATGACAAATTTGCCCTGTTTGTGGTTGGGGAACAGAAATTCGTGACGGGTTCACTGTCACAAACGTTTAGAGTGGTTTATGAGGTTCATGGTGGTTTGCGGATGGAACAGAAAGTGGGGGGTTTAAAGGGACCAAGTCCCTTTAAATCTCTGCTTTCTGTTTTCTGCAAAAGCCACAAAAACAGCTGAGGGGTGGGGAGGCTCTCTGCCACTCAGCTGTTTCAGGCTGTCTTGTGCAGTCCCTTTAAACTTAAAAAGGACCACAGAAGACATCATGAAAACAGCTGTGTGGCAGGGAGACACTCCATACCACGCAGCTGCCTGCTCGAAACAGCTGAGCAGCAGCTTGCCCCCCACCACTCAGCTGCTTTTCAGGCTTTCTGCAATGGGTTCTGCAGGGCCACGAACTGCACAAACCACACCAAACTGCATTTTCCCGGTTCATGCCCATCCCTAATACCATCCCCAGTGCAAAATTAGTTTGCAAAAAAATCCCCCAAACCCTTTACCCCTTCCTCAAAAGAACCTCAAAGAACCCCATCATCCCCCATTTGGAGTCTTGTTTCTCCTCCTCTTTATATTGGGATGAGAGTCTTTGCTAGAGATGTTGCCCCTGATCAGAGGCCTGGTAGTGCTTCAGATTGGCGAAACCGGTTTGGGTGAGGTGTTATTTTGTGCAAGACAAGGACTCAGGGGAAGAGCATGGGCTTCTGGGCTAATTACTGGCCTCCTTGGGGCCAAGTTGCCCAAGGCCTGGGCCTGGGCAGATTCTCAAATCACATTAAAGATGGAAAGAGGAGGCCCAAGGTGTGTGTGTGTGTGGGGGGGGGAAGTGATTATCATCAGTATTACTTTTCAGGGTGCTTAAAATGTACTCAGCCCTTCACAACAAACTAAAAAAAAACAGAATGACAAGGGTCACGCCTCAAGGTTTTATAATCTACATCAGTTCAGAAGCAAATAGGAAATGTGGGCGACAGACCGGAAGATTGGAATATGCAATCTGCATTTTAAGCACACAGATGCATACAAGGGTGATAACCAAACTTACAAATGGAAAGAAATTCCTGTTGCTGTGGTGTCAGACATCTAAAAGCAGTGTGTGTGTGTGTGTGGAATATATCATATTTTAACCCTGCTCTTCTTCCAGGTAGCGCAGAGAGGCATACATGGTCACCCCTCCATTTTGCCCACAGAACAACCCTGCAGCATAGGCTGAATGATTGGCCCAAATGACCCCACTGGCAATCTGAACCCAGGTCTCCCCAGTCCTGGGGAAAACAAGACATTTTTGTAAAGGAGGGCAGAGGTATGGTGGTAAACAGCCATGGGAAAAGAATCCAGTAAGCGAAGCAAAGGCAAGGCAAGAGATTAAATCGGGGGTGCATCTAGATAGGCGAGCTCCTCCCCCATCTACACAGCCCCAGAAGCGTGGGAAAATGGATGCCCAAGTCACTCCGTGGTGGCAGTATCAAGCAGAAACTTGCACAAGCAAGTGATCTCAGATCGAACAATCATGGGGCAAACTTCTGTATCCCTTGAAGGCACGTCAGAGGTGAGACATTTCTGTTCCACACACTTGGCCAGAGCAACATACCTCTGGGAGTGAGTTGTCAAGCACGGGAAAGCTCCCGAACCTGTTTTCATGCTGCCGCTTTGAACAGTCAAAGGCTTTTGAGTATGCTCGGAGCATTCCCCACTGCCCCCCCCCCCAATGGCAATAAAGGTTGCCCTCTCAGTGTCATTTCAGCCCCAGAGCCTTGTAAGGAGCCCTTTTGGAATAGAATGAAGGGACCGACAAAGTACACGGGCAGGAGAAATGGACATGCCCGGACAAATTTTGGAGGGATTCATTTCTCCCACTCCGAAAGAGGGCTCTTATGGTTCCAGGCTGGCTTTATTCAAGGATAGTCCCTATTAGAGTCTCACTCTATTGGGGGGGGAGGCCATAACTTTGGCGGGAGCCCATAACTGATGACCCCCCCCATGGCATTTGTTCCTATGCTTCTTTTCATCCCTTCTGCTTAAATATTAGTTCAAACCAGCTTTTGAGAGAATCTCAACAATTCAGTCTCTTTTCCTTTCCCCTAAAATATTCTTTAACGGTTGACGAAGGCCATCAAGAAGGGCTGATGTAGCACCGCAGATATCAAATCATCAAAGCAATACTAGACTTAGATCACGCTAAGCTCCTGGGTCCCTGGCGGAAGAGAGTGAATCAAAGTCAAAAGCAAAAATCTTTCTCCAGGTCATTTCAAGGGATATTTTGCATCCCTGCCTTGCGTGTGGGGGGCTTATTGATTGATTGGTTTTAGCGCCCCCCCCCCACAGCATGCTCAGGGCAGGTTACAACACAGTTAAAACATGCCACATAACTTCCCTCAAGTTCAGCACATCCTAGACATGCATGCCTACACATAGTTTCACATGACACACAATTAACTTATGGATCAGTTCTGTTCAATTTACTCAACAGAGGTCATTGCACTTAATGTTCCCAGGTCTCCCCTGGGGATGGGGGTTGGGTTGCCAGCGCCAGGTTGGGAAACTCCTAGAGATTTGGGAGTAGAGTCTGGGGAGGACAGGAACCACAGTGGGGTAGAGTGCCATAGAGTCCACCCTCCAAAGCATCCAATTTCTCCAGGGGAACCAATCTCTATAGTCTGGAGATGAGCTGTAATTCCAGGATATCCTCAGCCCACCCCCACCCCCGGAAGGCTGGTATCCCCAGTCACAATTAACTTGTTGAACTCAAGTCCACAAGATGGGGCAACTGCCACAAGCTTTTGTGTGGAGAATAGGGGTGTCAGCTGTGATACGGGACCTCCACGTTCAAAGGCAGTGTCAGCTTGAATCCTACTTGCGGGGGGGGGGGGGTTATCTTCATGCCCTGCTTGTGAGCTCCTTCAAGACAGCTGGTTGGTCCCTGTGGGAACCAGGGATACTGAACTAAATGGACTTTAGGTCTTATCTTCTTAGGTTTTCACGCAGCGCCTCACTGTTATTCTGAAGACACACCGCTTGAAATATCCAGGCAGTCTAATGGCAGTCTCAACACCCTTCGTTTCCCACCATGCAAGGAGACCCTGGCCCCATTAGATCTCACCTTGACAAACAGCTGGATTTTGGAACTCTCAGCCATCCTGCTCAGGCCTCTGCAGAAAGAAACCAGATAGCTCTCTGGCAACTCTTCTCTCCGTCTGCTTTATAAATTAGACACACCCTCACCAAAGCTCCACAAGCAGCATTCCTCTTGTCTCCTCTCAACGCCCTGTTTCTGCAGCTACCCAAACCGTCTTTTCAGAGGAACTCCCTCAGTCCTGTTGCAGAAATGGTAAGACAGAGTTCTCTGCAACCTCAAAAGGCTGCATTCACCCACCCCCACGATGGATGTAAGACTGGTGGGGGGGAAAGTCTGATCGTTCAGGCTGCTGTACTTGATTGACTGCCTGGAATTCCTCTTTTGCCACTGGCTGAGCTGCTGTGATGTCACAGACAATTCACAAAAGTATGCCAAATTATGCAGGGACTGGGCAATGTTTGTGTGGAAGCTACTGAAGTGATTGCTAGTGGTCGGAAAACCAAGAAGCACTACTCATGGTGGGAATCAGGGATTTTGCAAGAATAATGAAGAAAGGAGAAACAGACACGCACACGTAAGGATGCCTCTGAAAACTGTCCAGACCACTTCAGTTAGTCAAAATGTGACAGCCAGGCTACTGTCAGGGCCTTGGTATAGGGAATCATATCAGCCTTATGCTGAAAGAGCTGCCCATATGTTTCCAGGCACAATTCAAAGTTCTGATTCTTTCCTTTAAGGAGCCCTAAATAACTGGGGAGAACAGGGTATTGAAAGTTTGCCTCTTCCCATACTGTCCAGCTCACCATTTAAAATACTTCTTAAAAGCTCTGATCTTCACAGAGGTGTAGTATGTGGTGTCTGGCGACAGGGCTTTCTCAGGGGTGGCACCTTGCCTGTAGAATGCTTTTCCTCCAAGGCTTCCTTGGTGCCTTATTATTATTATTCTGAAACTATAATGAAACATGAACTGAACTTCTGACTATTACACCTACCCACTCTTTTAGATAACAAGCGAAAACACTTCTTTTACCAAGACTTAACTCTGGGGGGGGGGGTCATTTCAAACAGTTTTTACAGTCTGCTTCTAGGCTGAGGGCTGTTTTATAAGGATCATTTTAGGCTGTTGAATGCTTTGTGCGGCTTTAAGCTCTGGCTGGGTTTTAAACATTTTGTTCATTCTAATGCCGCTTTGATAACTTTACCCTGTTTCAACTTGTGAGCCACCTTCGCAGGTCTTTGGAAAGCCTGTGTGTGTGCGCGCGCATATTCTCTAAATAAATAAACAGATGGAGCCAATCCACACATGCAGAAGAATGGCAGGGTATGAGAGTTTTCCCTTCACTCATTTTCACTAGCCCTTGCAATTGGACAGGGGGAAGGTGGCAGTCATGGCAACACATGCTAAATATAGCTGCATTTACTAGTGTATCCACTAGTGTTTTGATGGTGCAACCTGAATCTAGAAACTTTACAAGGGTTATCAAGGACAGCTGTCATTAAAAAAAACACCTTCCCTCCCACGTTTCATCTCTGCCCGAACAATACCCCTAAAAAGCCCTTTGATCTGGCTCCATACCTGGAGGGACTGGCAAGAGAACTGGGAGCTTGTAAGGTGAGGCACCAGGGATCTTAGCTCAGTAGCCTGTTGGGTACAACGGAAACTGGCCGCATGCCATGCCGTGTCCTCATCTGGCTGAAGGCTTGGCTCTCAGCCCACATTTTGGAGAAGAACTACCCGTGACAGTTTGTATCGGCAGCCTGCTCAAGGCAGGAAGCAACAGGGCCATCCCACCTGGTTCCTATTACGTAATGGCTTTTTGCAATCACTGAAACTCTCGTCTTGGTGCTACCCGCCCAGATCAGCACAGAGCTGGTTGTTACTCTCACAGGAGATGCTGAAAAGGCCAAAGGCTGGAGTTCTTGGTTGGCCTCAGCCACATTCTCTTGCTCATGGCCAGCCTTTGGGTCCTCAGTATGCACTCCTAAACCAAGACAGAGGGCTACCAGGAGTCAGAGAGACAGCACAGTTGGGTAGCTGTCAGATTCTGTGGCCGCAAATAACACCCACCAAGGGAAGACCATTGACAATTCACAACTATATATGATCAAAACTATATGTTACATTCATTAAAGTACAAAGATGGGTTAGTGGTCATAACCCAATAAAATGTATAAGCACATATCCAACAGATTGCTCATAACAATTAAGCACTATTTAAAAAAAGAATGTGTTCAAAACCAACAGTAGGCTCCTCTGTAATTCCATATATAAATAGTGTCCATAGACCTCCAAACAGAAAGTAACTGCAGCAGAAGACATCCACTGTGGAAAGAGTAACAGCCGGATGCCTCTCCCAGGTATAAATCAAAATTGGAGTCCAGTGACACCTTTAAGACCAACAAAGATGTTTCAGTGATCTTCAACAGCGGCTGGTAAAACAGAACTGTGAAGCAATCATAAATATACACAGAAAGACAAGGTCGACTACATAATACATATATCAGGTCAAAATATAGTAAAATGTATCTCACTCCAATTTCCAAAATAAATGCACAGCTCCGTAACTTCAATGGAATCCTAGAGTTCTCTACAAGGCAACCTGCTATGCAGCATTTTTATACATTCTATTGGGTTACGACCACTAACCCATCTTTGTACTTTAAGGAATGTAATATGCAGTTTTGGTCATATATAGTTGTGAATTGTTGATGGTCTTACTTACTTTGACAAGCCTTTATTGGCATACGTATATACATACAATAGGAGATCAGATTAAATATAGATTGTTGATGGTCTTCCCTTGGTGGGTGTTGTGGCTATACTTGTACGTTAAGGGTCCCCTATTGTCTTTGGCAGAATCAATGACCTGGCGGGAGGCCCACTTCAAATGCCCCATCCACATACAGCAAAAAATGGAAGACTCCTCCTGAAATCCCTGTGAGGTTGCCCACTGGCAGGTATCTTTCCCATGTCTTTCCTCTGCCCTCCAAACTGTTCTGGTAAGAGGAATCACTGAGGCACAGTTTAAAAAGTAACATCAGTGATGAATGCACTATTCACTGAGCTGGCACTTAAAGAGATTTTCAACTGCTACTTATACACCTCAAGCCCCACCCTTAAATAAGTTCCAAGAGGGGGCAGGGAGAGAAAGGAGGACTCTAATCTACAATCATTTTTATGCCATCAGTCTATAAGGAGGCTGCCAAAGAAACCTAAGTAGAAGAGGTTGTGTGGATGCTACAGTGGTGCCCAATGACAACTAAAACGTGTGACTTTTCAAGTTCCTAAGTTTTCACTTTAAATTAAGAACCAAGTGTCCAGTCCCTATGGCTGCAAAGAGGTATTCGAACGCATGTGGGCTTTGCCTACTGGAATCTCCCTTCTACCACCCTGTCCTTCCTCCAGGGAGCTGAGGTTGGTGGACCTCATCTCTCCTTCTTTAAGTGTGTGGCTGAATAACACTCTTGGGTGGTTGGGAAAGGGACTTCAGTACCCTGAAGAGTTCCCTGCCCCTTTCCCACATTAGCAAAAGGAGAATTGTGCCTATTTGCTTTATTGGAATTTTGTATAAGTTGTATTTTGTATAAGTTGCAGAATTCAGCTTCAATTTGGGGTAATTTTTTTTTGGGGGGGGGATTCTTGACCCACACAGAGCTCTGTATAAAGCACAGTGCTCATGCCAGATTTTTGGGACGCTCTCCTTCATTGGATAAGCCGTTCTAAAGCACTCTGCTCTATTAACAAAAGCAAGGCCAGGCTCATTGCTGGGATTCCCCAGTGCCTAACTCACAAAGTCCCAGAGGCCACCGTTGGTGCTGGGCAATCCAGGAGTAAATGTCTTTGCAACCCCGTCTCTGGAAATGAGCCTCAGGGGCTGAAGCACTGCAACGTCTTCTATATATAACCTGCTGCCTTGCCCTGCCCTTCTGTCTCTCGCCACCTCTGAAACCAAGAGAGAGAGAGAGAGAGAGAGATCCACACCTCCAGAAGCATAAAAATAGCCATCATATTTCTGAACTGGTTGATGAGTCAACTGACCTTTGAAAACCTGGCAGAGATGAATGCCACACTATACAAACAATGAGAGACTGCTCAGGAATCCAAAGCCAGGAAATACAGCACACTAGACTTTGGTGCGCTGACACCCAAAATTCTGCACCTAGAGGTGTCAGTGTTCTGCGATTGAAAAGCATTAGGCAGGCTACACAGTTGTGGAGGAAATAAAACATGTGTATTCATTCTTGCATTCTGGTTTTTTTCCTGTTTCATTTTTTCCATACGCCTGAGCCTGAGCCAGTTTGCAAATTTGGGTTAAAAGTGGGGATCTTCTTGTTTCCCACCCCCACCCCATGTATTGATTTGACAGAGTAAATTGCAGGATCTTCCTTATCATTTTCCTAGCATGGTGAATTTACCACAACCCAACTTTTATGTCATCATTTTGGCACAGTATTGATTTCTTGTCCATGATGGTGCAACTTGGCATGAGATGCAACTTTCAGAGCTGGTGCTGTGCAGTGTTTATTTATCTATCATTCAATTTATATTCCGCTCAAACCCCGAAGGGTCTCTGAGCGGCTTACACACAATCATTGGTTCCTAACTAAGGCCACAATTATACGGGGGGTGACTTCCTACCAGCACCCGGCAGCAGGGCTTGTTGTTGGAGTCTGGCTTCTTCCGGCAGCCTCGGATGTCAACGCTCCACTTCATGTTTAGAACATGATGTAAGCCCCTCCCCCCCAAAGCAGCCCAAGGTCAGGAGCCTCCTTCATGTCTTCTCAGACTATAGGACGTCTGAGATTGTTTGAGACACTCCATATATTAAAAGCTGAAAAATTGAGATCACTCTACAGGCAATTCAAGATACCGACTCACAAGGAAATGGGCAGGGTTCCCCTGGGGAACAGAACACTACCTTGACAATGGCTCTACTCTTTGGCTTCCTGAGGGCTCATCAAAATGCAGGCCATGATTAACAGTCAAGGTCTGCAGGACAATCATAGAAGCATAGAATGTTAGAGTTGGAAGGGACCTTGCAGGTCATCTAGTCCAACCCCCTGCACTCTGCAGGAGCATAGCCAAAAGATAGCCCTACAACATACCCAAAAGATGGTTGTCCAGCCTCTGCTTAAGAATGTCCAGCGAAGCAGCATCCACCACCTCCCGAGACAGTCTGTTCCACTGCTCAACCACTCTTACAGTTAGGAAGTTTCTCCTGATATTTAGTTGGTAACAACTCCCTTGTAATTTCCACCCATTAGATCTAGTCTTGCAATCCGGAGCAAGAGAGAATAGATCTGCTCCATCTTCTACATGACAGCCCTTCAAATATTTGAAGACTGCAATCATGTCCCCTCTAAGCTTTCTCTTTCCCAGGCTAAACATACCCAACTCTTTCAGCCTTCCCTCGTAAGACTTGGATTTCAACCCTCTCACCATCCTGGCTGCCCTCTTCTGAACACGCTCGGGCTTGTCAGCATCCTTCCTAAAATGTGGTGCCCAACACTGGACACAGTACTCCAGGTGAGGCCTGACCATAGCAGAATAGAGCGGAACTACCACCTCCTGCAATCTGGACACAATGCTTCTGTGCTAGATTGCATTAGCTTTCTTCACAGCCACACCACACTGCAGGCTTATGTTTAGTTTGTGATCAACCAGAACACCTAGATCCCTTTCACATGTGCTGCTATCAAGCCAAGCCCCTCCCATTCTATATCTGTGCCTTTGGTTTTTTGTACCTAAGTGTAGGACTTTGCACTTATCTCTATTGAAATTCATTTTGTCTCAGCCCACTGTTCCAGCCTATCTAGATCATTTTGAATCCTCCTGACTCTTTCTTCCTCAGAATTAGCAATCCCACCCAGCTTTGTGTCATCTGCAGATCTGATAAGCATCCCCTCTATGTCTTCCTCAAGGTCATTTATAAAAACACTGAACAACACCGGGCCCAGGACCGAGCCCTGTGGCACTCCACTCGAGACTTCCCTCCACATAGACGCAGAGCCATTTACAAGCACTCGTTGGGTACGATTTTTCAACCAACCATTAATCCATCCAACGGTTGCACCATCCAGCCCACACTTAACCAGCTTATCCTCAAGGATATCATGAGAAACTTTGTCAAATGCTTTACTGAAATCTAGATACCCTATGTCCACAGCATTGCCAGAGTCAATTGGCCTTTTAGGACCATCCAGGAATCTGTCTTGCAATGCAGACTTCCCTGGAAGCCTAATCACGAGTTCAAGCCAGGCACACCAGCCACCAGCCACCTGCTCACCTTTGTTAATCCGGTTTGCCACTCAGGAAATTCAGTCATCACACCCAGGAGATTCAATCGTCCTGCCCTCTCTGTTACCTCACCCAATACCCATCATTCTCCATTATGTTTCTCACGACCATTTTTGGAAATCTTTCTCTTTAACCTTTACAAAAATTCAAAACCACCAATAACAGCCAAAATTCTGACTTTCTCCCAGTCAGAGAAAGAATTCTGATATTCCTCCAGGTGGAGAGCAGTCCCAAACTCGCCAGTTATGGACAGAATTCATGAAATTTGGCCAATGACAAGATTAAAAAAGGCCATTAATACGATCTGGCCCCAAAAGTTAAGCGCCCAAGGGAAAATAGGATAAAAGTGGCATCTGGGCATGAGGAAACTGGGTTCAGTCCCATTCCAGATGGTCCCTCTGGCAAAATTCTGGCACTACTGGACAAAAGGTTAGTGTGATCCCTTCGGATTGCTCCTCTACCACTGAAATCACTTGACAGAGACCCTCTTATTATCATTGGGACCCCCAGCCCTTGCTACTTTGGAACTTCTCCAGCTGTGGTGGATTTAGGGTTGCCAAGTCTATCTTCGCCGGGAGCGGGGGGGGGGCACCCAGCCGGCGTCTTGCGCGCGCGCACTGCCGCACATCACCCGGAAGTGACGGGAGGACGCCAGGCACGCTGGGGGCGGGGCCACGGCCATACAAGAGAAAACCATAGAGTTGCCTGGCGTGCTCGCGTCACTTCCGGGTGACGTGTACGTCGGGGTGGAGTTCCCCCCGGGGCCCGATCCGGCGGCGCCAGGGAACGGGCCTCTGGGGCGGGGGTTTCCCCGCCCCCCGGGGGGGCTTGGGATCCCTAGCTGGATTGTAGATCAGGCAATGTATGAACATTTCTGCTCTGCTTCTTTAAGCCTCTCACTCTTCCTTCTTCCCAGGTCCCATCCAGTGTTCCCTCTAAGCTGAGTTAGTGTAAGCTAGCTCACAGTTTTTTAGCCTCCAGCTCACACATTTTTGCTTTAGCTCAGGAAGGATGGCTCCAGAGCAAACTAATTTATGCAGCCGCCAAATCATTCACTCACCACTTTAAAGCCAGTAGCTCACAAAGTAGAATTTTTGAACACAAGACTCCATAGCTTAGAGGGAGCATTGGTCCCATCCCTTCACTTGAAGCACTACTCAGAGAAAACATGCATGCTTTGCCCTCCTACCTCCCTTTTCTCTAGGGATACTGGACACTCATAACATTATGAAGGTTGGATTCAGAATTTCTCGACCAGCCAGGGGGAGAAATAGTCGCTGTTACTGGGTGGCTTCTGCTAGACACCTTCTCATCTTTTTTTTTGCTAGTCTTGCACATGCTAGTGTGAGTTTCTATATGACATCTAGTTATTTGCAGTTTCAGGTTAAGTACTGTCTCCAGTTCCCCTTATTTAGTATTTTACACTGGTATTCCCAAATTCTGACTTAATCTTTATTGAACATAACAAACTTAACAGCAGGAAATTTCATGTTAAGTATTGTCTCCAGTTCCAAGCTCCTCCCTGAGGAATTCCTGTTACCTCCCCAGAGGTACCTGTGCTAAACTCACTCTCTCTGGAAAACTTGGAGGGACCCAGCAGTCAGAGAGGCAAGTAAGACCAAGGTCCCACACCTCACATTGGTCTGTCACAGGCAGGCAACATGGAGCCAGAAAAGACTCTATTTTTAACCAGTCAAGCTAGATCAAGCCAGGAGCACGTACACAGGACCTCATGATCAGCCAATAATTAACAAAGATCTTCATCAACATACTAATCCTTAAATCCCATCTCCTCTGACCTAGGCACTAATCTGGGTAAACTGAATTGTCTCCTTGAAGTCATTTCCAGAGTCTAGCACCCTTTCCCCATTGAACATTGAGCCAATGACAAGTTGTACTGCTCCAGGCAATCCGTGTAACATCGCCCAAGCTTGCGTTCATTTCAAGCACAGACAAAAAATCCCAATACTGCAAACTAGGAGAGCATGTGTGACCACTGGGGAAACCCAGGTTCAAATTTTGCTCCCTCAGCCATGAAGGGCTGATTTAATCTACCTCATGGGGGGCGGGGTGATGATAAAATGGAGGAGAGGTAAGCTATGTGTGAAACCTTGACTTCCTTGAAGGAAGGGAGAAATAAAAGAAAATGGATAGATATGGTATTACAGCTCAGTGTTTGACAGGTAAAATATCAATTTGTTGGCACTCCACTATGTAAGCCATTCTTGTATGTACAAACCAGAAACTACTGTATCTCCAAACTACTGGGAATTCCTTTTCAGGACAGGACTATCATACGCTAGTTTTAAATTTCAAATTGAAGTATGGTTTCAACAGGAAAGAAATCACTAATGCAATATTCATCAGTCTCTCTTTCTTGGCCTGCAAAATTCCAGACATCTAGCAAAACTGATTCGGCACTATTTCTCCCCCTTTAGATCACTGTGTGTGCCATGTTTACAGCACATGACTTTGCATTCTGTTCTTCCAGAAAATTCTCATGTGAAAAGGGGGAGACCCAGGAGGGACTCTGGGTTGCTCTGCCAGTGAACCCCCACCCTTCCCTGCATCACATGAGAACCTGCCACAAAAGTGTCCAAGTTTTAAGTGGGAGAAAGTAAGGCTTTCCTACTAGTCTCACAACATACAGTACAACAGAGAAACATTGCAAAAATGCAGTGAATTCATCCAACTTCTGACATCTTACAGTATAAGTCTCATGACAACGGGAAACATTTGTGGGGTGGGGGGAATCCCAGAAGGATCACCAAAGATTTGAGGAGATGAAACATAAACATAAACACACCACTCCCTTTAAAAAAAAAAAAAAAAGCCAAAGCTCATCCCATCCAAGATTTTTTATCTGCCTCCATGACTGGCAGACGAACAAGTAATAGCACAGCAAAAAAAATAATAATCCAACAATTGCTGGTGGGTTATTATGATTTTTATTAAAACAATAATTATTTTCACATTTTGTCCTTTTTTTTGCTAGCAATATACAGGCTTGTTGTAAGGCCCTTACCAACCACCAAGAATTCCCGCAGTGGCCAACGAAATGGCCCTGATTCTGGCTCAGTGAGGCACAGTAGATGGAAAACTAGCCAGACAAATCAGAAAACGAGGGGCAAAAGCCTGGAGTGTTAAGGCGGCGTGCCAGAGAGCAAGAATCAAAGGCAGTCAGTCCCACAAAGGGCAAGTTTCTGGGATGTCTTTAAAATACACTCATGTCAGCTCCTCACGGGACGGGATGAAGGAATGGATCCCACAGTGGCTCATTCTGGGGATGCACTCTAGATAATTTCCAAAGACACAAGATCTTGAGTTGCAAGTGAGCTGCAGAGGGAGATGACAACTTGGGAAATCTCTGGAAAATTCTGCTGCTTCAAGGAGCCACCATGTGCAATTGGCCCTGCCCTGATTTCTTGCCCCTTGGTGTAGCTGAGGCCACTCATACTCCAGTAACCTCCTCGTTTGTCCAAACAGACTCAACAGGTTTTTTTTTAAAAAAAAAAAAAAAATCCCATGCTTGCAAGAAAAAATTGCACCAGTTTTTTTTTAAAAAAAACAACAACACACACACACACATTTTGTAAGTCTGCACAGCCCGTGCTAAGCATCTCATTTGGCACAACATCTTGCAGGACAGGGAGCTGTCTGGCAAGGAGCCGCAAAGAGGTGAAGGCAGGAAAGCAAGAGGGGCCCTGAAATGGATGAGGTGGAGGGAAGAGAAGCACACAACTGTAGATAATGAGCAAGGGACAGACAGGCAAGGGGTCCAAAAATCCATCTAGAGAGACAGAAGCAAACTACAAAAAAGGGGAAGGGAAAAGAGATAAATATAAGATGCCTTAAAGTACCTTAGACAAATGTTCAGCAAAGCCCTTATGAATCTATCCCAGTGCTCTTCAAATTGATGAGACCTGACTCCCAGCCACCTTCACTGAAAAAGCATACTTTAGGACTTATGCTTGAAAAGATTTACTTCCCAGAATCCAGAAAACTTTTTAAAACTCCCCCCTTGAAGAGGAACCCCTCTCCTTCTTAGGTGTGGTTCCTGATTGGAAGTAGACAGGCAGAGCTGCAACTCACACAGAGGAACACTTCGTAGCCTCTTCAGAGGGTACAGAATCCTGCTGTGTGTCCGCACAGGCAGCAACCAAACAATCCGATCCCATCGGAGGCAGTGGCGTGCCAGAATTTCCAATCCACCTAGTGAAGACTGACTGGAAAGGAATAAGGGCCCAGCCGCAGACTACGCAGAGATACAGCAAGAAACCTCCCCTGTCGATTAAAGACTCCTGTGAGGCTGGTCTCCCACTGTATGCCAGCAGGCTTCTTAGGGTACACAGTTTGAGAATTTTAGTATTCACTGGGAGGGTTAGTTTCGACCATATCCTAAAGAGGCAATCTGCATTTGTAACACACTTGCAACAAGAACTGGAACTGAAAACTGCAGAACACCTATCAGTGTGCCATCAGTTGCAAAGGGCACACTTTTTTTCAAATGGTGCCTGTTTCCCTGCTATGCTCATGGATGGCAGTGACCAGGAAAGGATCAGGCCATTGACTCCATGTCTGTGGCAGGTCAGAGAAACCATCTAAAACAAGCAGCAAGTGCCCAGTCTTCTCTGTATTCCCTTTTCTGCATTTAAAGACATAGGTGCTATTTGAGTTTGATCGTGCCGGATGCATGGCTCTCTGCCTTTTCTTTTTTTTTTTTTTTTTAATTATAGATCTTTATTTTTCCAGACAAACATACATTCACTCTCATCCCATCACCCACAGTCTCCCTTCCCAACACCACTACAGATCTCCGACCCGTCAACCATTTAAAGTAAAATTCCCTTTCTTACTTATTCAACCACTTATAAAACGGTGACCACACGTTCTGAAATACAGTATTCATCTTTCCGCTAACTTTCTGCGTTAAACAGTCCATTTCTGCAACCTCCAATATTTTCATTATCAAATCTTCTTTGGTCGGTACTTTTCTACTTCTGGTCCAAAAAAGATAAAAACATGAATCTGCCCAAGTTCTGCCCAGGAGAGGGGCAGATTTCCTCCTAAAGCACCACCTAGGCCAAAAAGAGCTGATCTTACCTCAAAGACTCTGCTGCAGCTGTACCCATCCCTGCCACTAACAAATGCCTGTAATATTTCTCCAGAGATGATTCAGCACCTTTGAAACATGGCAATGGATCAGGGTATCAGTGGCCTGCGAAACAGTGGACCAACTCTACTGGAGGAGGAGAAGTAGTTCTACACTAGCAGCTACAATAGCTCAAACTAAAGCCTCTGCGTTCAGAGGTAGTTTACTTCTGAATATCAGATGTTGGAGACTGATCGTAGCGCCCTGCTGTCTCCCATCTTGCCCTTGCACTGAGTTTCCCAACAGCATCTGGCCAGTCACTCTTAACAGAACTTTGAACTCCAGGGAACTAGGGGCAAGCTTCCCTGTCACGGGGAGCGGCACCTTCAGACAGCACAGGCATTTGGATGAAGAAAAATCCCCAAGCCCGCTAAGAAAGGTGCTTGGACCTGATCCCTGAAGTGGAACATCCAGCTTTAAATTCTAAGGACCTGAAAAACAGATCCTGCCAGATCAAACACATTGCTGGCAGAAACATCTCCTGTTGACCTTGGGTAGCTCAACCTTAGACACTCCTTCAAGCCCAGGCCTGGCTGCCAATCTCCAGCCTGCCCTTGATTATTGCTGTAATATGTCGCTCCAAAGGGAGTCCTAGGCTCACCCTGATGCCTCCTGTGAAGCCCGTTTCCAAAACAGAATGCAGGCCAGACTGAGCGAATGACCCTTCCCTTGTCCACCCTCAGCTCTGCAAAACCTTGCTCCGATTGCGCCTCCTTTCTAAGCCTTTAAAGCAGATACACTGTTGGTGTTTTCACAGCCATGAGGGCTAGAAGCATTAGTTTATTTTATTTTTTCCATAACAGCAGCATTTCATGATCAGTTAAGTTTAAAAACAGCTCAGGGACCCTTGGTTGGGGTACAGGGAGCAGAGACAGAGAGGGAAGGAAAGAACACACACTCGCACACACTCACAAATACACTTGTTTTAGCACAAGCAAAGAAGTCCGGTAAGTTCAGGGGCATTTTCCAGGTCTGCAAAAAGCAGATGGTTGTACTGATCCCTTTTGGCCCTTAACTTTGTACCGTAGTGAGAAAGAGGGAGCCTGCATCCCCACACGTGCCATATTAGGGAGCATGCTGGACGTTCTCCTTCACACGTCCACTTCAAGGAATCATCTGTCCCCTTTAGGAAATAAAACCTCCAGCCGATCCCTGGGTGCAAAGTCAAGTCAGTCAGTCGGCATCTTCCCTTTCCAAACTCCGGGGAAGACTGTGCAAGAGCCACCCAGAAAAGCAGTGCCAAAGCAGCCAAGCCAGAGAGTCAAGTCAACACAGTAGAAAAGGGTTCAACTCTCCCCCAGCTGGAAGGGGGGGAGGGGGCCAGAGGCAGCGTCTCCTCTTGCAGAAGCATTCAATAGCAGCCAAGAGACAACCGTCAGAGTCAGGAACGCACTTGCTCCTCTGTCCCCGCTGTGGTGCCTACAAGGCTCCTGCGTTAGCACCTTCTGCCCCTAAGCCAGGCCAGTGGCCCTTCAAGGAACCAAGAGGGTTGCATTAAGGAGGAGGGGGCACACAGTTCCACCCATTTTGGTCTGCTGCTGGAGATCGTGCCGCTAACAGCCATCTCTGCTCCCCGTAAGTGTGGCTGCTCTTTTCCAGGCCAGCTCCTCTTTCGTGGGACTTGCTGGTAATAGGTCAGCACCCTCCGGGACGGTCTCTGAAGTCAGATGCTTGCGGAGGCCTCACTGGCAAGGCTTCAAGAGACACCCCTCGCCTCCCGCCACCTCGCTTAACAGGGGCGGCTATCGCTCAAAGGAGGGTCAGGCGAGGGGCAAGGAAAGCGGGTGCCAGGTGGGAGTCTGTGGTTTAAAGCCAGGAGGGGGGCTGCATCCCCCTCCATTTTTCAGCAAAGTGTGTCGGTATTGAAGGAGAGCTGAGCCTGCGGAGACAAGCAAATAAGGAGTCCCAACTGAAAACGTGAGCCAACTGGCACTTCGTAACTGACCACATGGCCAGCTGTAGTCTGAATCAGTGTGCAACTTACAACTTCTCCCATTGGTGGCTTGACCTCCCCTTCCTTCTCCTCCAAGCTCCCTACCTTTGCCCCTGCCCTTCTATGCCATTTCCTGCCCACGAGCCCCATAGGAAAGACCCAATCCCACTCTTTCACTGCCAATCCTTTCCTAGCAGCCTTCTTTGCATTTTTTCTCAATTCACCTTTTGTGTCAATCCTGGCTCCTCCGATCCACCGCCTGCTCTGTTCTCCTTCGTTCAGCCACCTCTCCTCCTGACCTTCAGCTCCCTGACCGTCACCCTGCTCCTCTTTCCCAAATGTCAGACTCTTCACATCTCAGGGCTCCTCGGTGCTGCACGACATTCCTTCTCCCAGCCAAAGTGGCTCCTTACCTCCCTGGATTGATATGAGTCCACTTTGCCCAACTTCCCCCTTCCCACAAGCTTGCTCGCACCACTGCTCACCCGCTCGTCCTCGAAGCTGATCAATCCCTCATCATCTGTTTCCAGGTCCTCAGGCTCCTCCACCACCAGGGCCCGCAGTTCAGTTGGGGCTGCCCGGGGCCGCAAGAGGTTCAACAAGCGTTGCAATGGAGATTCCACTGAACAAGCTGGGCTGGTCTCCTGCTGTTCCAGATTATCGCTCTGCTTCTTGGCAAAGTTCACAAATACCTAGGAAGGGTGGGTGGAGGGGATTGAGTGGGAACAAGAGGATCACGAAGTTGGTTTCTGCTCTCCAAAAGCAGAAACTACAATTTACGGCCCAGCCAGAGAGCTGCAACCCCTCGGCTCAAGGAACTGTCCTAAGCCTCCTCCATACTTACGTTGTCTAGCGTGGTTTGGCTGACGGAATAATCTTCAATGCCTAAGATGTCCACCACCTGCTCCATCTTGCTGAACACTTGGGCTAGGGAGATCTGCTCGGACTTGAGCTGGTACTGCACCTTGGTGTGATGCCTTTCCTGGGGGAGTGGGGAGAGGAAGCGAAATGTCAGTGGCACAAGGGCTCCTGCTCAGCTCTTTCACAATCGATTCTTCTCATGAGTAAACGTCAAGCAGCTAGCTTCCCCCTTCCCCATTCCTCCAAGTTTATGTTAAGTGAAATGCAGTGTGGAATTTGTCCATCTCTATTGCATCCTCTAAGAAGCTCACAGGGTTCTCCATCTCCCTTCCCATTTTATCCCCACAAACATCCCTACAATTGGGCTTTAAAGTAGGACTGGGCAGGAAGCAAAGCCTCTCTTGCTGGAATAAGCCTCACCTTGAGGATAGCCTCTGGGAAGTTCCTGTTGAAGAATCGCACCACCTCCTTGACGTTCAGGCTGGATTTGGTCCGAACTGTGATCATGTATCCATCCCCAAACCTGGCCAGCATGAAGACAGTTGGTCAAGGATCCAATTTCGCCACTTACGTTCCCACCCCCATGAGAACAAAAAACACCTCCTACAAATTTGCCCTGGTTTTGTTTTTACCATTACAACAATTTTTAGATGCATAAGCAGTTAAAAAAAAAGGACGTGTTGCGATCATACCATAAAGTGTGTGTGTGTGTATATATAATGTAAGTTCTCTTGGGATAGTTATTGTGTGTGTGTGTGTGTGTGTGTGTACACATTCAGTAACTATCCCAAGAGGATGTACATCATTCATTAAGAAAGGGTAACCAGATTAGTACAACACCTCTCCTCCTGCCTTCTCTTAGCTGCACCAATTAAGCTATCCTTACACATTACTGCGATCTCCTGCATTTGTTCTTTAACTTACAGAGTGTTATGAGAATGCTAACCAGAGGACCTTTAAAAAAAAAAAAGATTCATTTCAGACCAGACTCTAGACTGTCTGGAGTGCTCCAGATCAAGGCTAAACATGCCCTAAGGCCTGTAGACTTTTGTGCAAGGCAATGCTACTGCTGACAAGTAGCAGTGCCTACAGACCACAAATGCCATGTGGCTTTCACACTTTTTTTTGGTATTTTGCATATGTGTGTATGCATGAAAGTGTGTGTGCACCTGGAAGTCATGGCGACCTCTGGTGACTGACCCCTGCTGGGGGACTGGAGGATATTCAGAGAGGTGGCTGAATAAAGCCTATCCCCGCATCCCGCCTCTGGTATTTCAAGGAGGTCTTCCATCCAAGTACTTGCCGGAGTCGAGCCTGCTTGGCTTCTGAGATCTGACGAGATAGGACTGCCCTGGGCTATCCAGGTCAAAGCTATGGCTTTCACAGTCTGATTTCCCCACCAACCTTGCTTTATTTTTCAGAGGCCAAGAAGGTGGTTGGGGGATCCAATTAGTGGCATTATGGTTGGTGGCCTTCACAGAAACTCTGGATGCTTGAGCAAATGTGCTTCATCCAGTCAAACAGACTCACAGGAACCACAACCCACCTCCTGTTCTACAAGGCAACAAGATGGTAAGATCCTCGCTCACCCACCAAGTACCAACGCAGCTCTGGCTGGAACCTGAAGGTCCAGAAGCCCCCCCCCCTTTGTTATCCTTGTGATTACCTGTTTTTCAGGTGCTGAATGCTGCCAAGACACTTCAGGCGCCCGTTCACCATGATCGCCAGACGAGTGCAGAGGGCCTCACATTCTTCCATGCTGAGGAAAACGAAAAGGAAGGCATCAGCAGAAGTCGTCACGTCACACATTTAGGCTTCCAGTTGCATCAGCTAAGCACATGCTCCTGTTCATTAATCTGTTAATTGTTTTGTGGCTTCAACCGTTCCTCCCCACCACCCCACAGGCAGTAGGAACAGGGCACCCCAACCTGTGCGATGTCAGCACCACCGAACGGCCAGTTTTGATGATGTCCAAGATGAGGTTCCAGAGGAAACGCCTAGCTTTTGGGTCCATACCAGTAGTTGGCTCATCCTGTCAGGAAAGGGGGCAGAGGAGAGAATTAGCCTCCCCCAGACTCTTATCTCCACGATTTCCCTCCCAACAAAGCTTGTGTCAGGGACTGTGGGTCCTACAGTATGCATTTCAAGGGCGGAAGGGATCCAGGAAAACCTGCTCGCGAGATCACTTGCTGCAGATTTGCACAGACTTATATTGTTTTTTTTAAGTGGAAACCTTGCATTGGCTTTTAAAACATGTTTCCTCGGTGAACAGGAACACACACTTTTGGTTTCCCTCTTTTTTGGTGTTGTAATGCTTTGGTTCGGTCACTAAGTGCTACTACAGTACTATCGGATTCAGCACACCTAAAGACACAGCATATGCCTATAGCCATACCTAGGGACCGAGCACAGCAGCACAACACAGTACTGAAGCATCAGTCCTGCTTGTTCGTCACCAAGGACTGTGCAGCAATCTGCATTTGGATATTTCCAAGGCGAAATTATGCTCCAAATTTGCTGGACTGTTTGAGCTCAGGGATATGTGAAATGACAAAAGGCAATCCCAACATTTCAGAATTCCCAATATTTACATCCTAAAATTTCGGGGGTGGTGGTGTAATTTCAGCTTCAGGGTAGACCTGGAATCTGAGTCTAAATGCCAGGTCTACCACCACCATTTTCAGTGGGCAGCATACCTGGCCACTGGTGTCCAGACACAAAATGTACCACCCACGGAAAACTGTCATGATAGACCTGACTTCTGTCTACAGATGCCTTGTATTCATGACCACCCTCCAAAGTATTCCTGAAATTGTATCAATATTCTGGGACATTTCAGGATAACAATAGTCATGCCCTTTCTGAAATACCAAAACAAAATTAAAAGGAAAATTTTTGAACTGCGCAGCCCAATGGCTGTGCCAAACACCTGGCCCATATCTCTGTCCCTCACCAGGAAAATGAAGGCTGGATAGCCAATGAGGGCAATGGCTGTGGACAGCTTCCTCTTGTTGCCACCGCTGTAGGTGCTGGCAGGTTTGTTTGCATATTTGGTTAGTTCCAGCTTCTTCAGTGCCCATTTTACTACCTGAGAAAAGCAAAGGACATCAACACAAAGCTTCTGAGTAATCTATTTAATCCAGAAAACCACCACAAGCAGCTCTGTAGCTGCAATCAATAACATGGATTATAATGTCCATCATCTTACTTCCCTGATGGCAAGTATGATCAGGAAATGAAATATGTTAGCTTTCATTACCATGATCTTCTGGCTATGCACATAGCACACGCACACACACTACCTTCCTTGACTGTCAAGTTGTCTAAGTTGGAACAACCTTGAAAAACAGCTGCAGTCTGGATTTACAGAGAGATGCCAAGCACCCCTTCTTCATGTCTGGATCTAGTGCCAGCAGACACCCCCCAAACCCCCGCCCCAGCTACCAGCCAACTTGCTTGAGGCCAATGGAGAGCTACAGCCATGCACCCATCCACTCTACCTGCATTCAGACCTTACTAAGATTAGCACATTTTATTACATTTATATCTATATCTTAAATTGCTATAAACTGCCGTGGGAGAGGCACAGTCTGAGTGGTTACCTCATGATTTGTGAAGACACAAATACATTTGCATTTTATCTCCCCCCCCCCCAAGTCTTTCTAAAGGAAAGGGGGGGGGAAACTAGTAGACAAAGAGCTCAAGGCATTTTGACATGGCCCTGTGCTGCCGGCTTACCCGTTCCTCATCCTTCCAGGGGATGCCACGCAGCCGGGTATACAGCTCCAGGTGCTCTTGCGCAGTCAACTCATCAAAAAGTGCATCAAATTGTGGACAGTAGCCCAAGCTCTGTTGCACCTGGAGAAGCTCCTTTAAGATGCTGCAGAAACCGGGGAGGGAGGGGGGAGAGATTGGCAATTACAGAAATGAAAGGAGCAAGGTATGAGATGGCAGTCCGGGCTGCGAAGAGAGATTTCTACGCAGCCAGGGTTGCGTCCGCTAGCTCACGCCCGGCCCAATTATTTAGGACAATTCGGTCATTGACAACACTGCCTCAGAGCAGACAAAATTGTAGGGAATTGGACATTGGCTGCGAGGCTTTTGCGAGCTATTTTGCGGATAAAGTCTTAGCGCTCCGCCGCGACCTCCCCGCTACACTTGAGACAGTATGCGAACTTGAGGCCCCTTGGGCGGCTTCGCCGGGGTTGGAAAGGTTCAATCAGCTCAGCTTGGAGGAAGTTGATGGGGTGCTCGCAGCTGTGCGCCCAACCACTTGCAGCCTGGATCCGTGCCCCTCCTGGCTCATTAAAGCGGGCCACGAGGGGTTTCGAGGTGCCTTGGGGGAGATAATCAACAAGTCCCTGTCAGAGGGGCGGTTCCCCGAGGCACTGAAGGAAGCGATGGTCCGCCCTCTCTTAAAAAAGCCATCACTGGACCCGGCCGAATTGGCCAGCTATCGACCGGTGTCCAATTTGCCCTTTTTGGGCAAGTTGATTGAGAGGGCGGTGGCGACACAGCTGCAGGGTTTCCTAGATGACACTTCCTCCCTCGACCCATTCCAGTCCGGCTTTCGACCCGGGCATGGAGCGGAGACTGTACTGGTCGCCCTTACTGACGACCTTCGTAGACATCTGGATCGGGGCGGCGTGGCGGCA